GGAGAGCTTTGTATGTGTCTCTGTGTGTGGAGTAAAGGTGGTCTAGAGTTTATTTTTTTCTGGTTGCACATGTAACATGCTGGTAGAAATTTGGTAAAACGGATTTAAGTTTGCCTGCATTAAAGTCCCCGGCCACTAGGAGCGCCACTTCTGGATGAGCATTTTCTTATTTGCTTATGGCCTTATACAGCTCGTTGAGTGCAGTCTTAGTGTCAGCATCGGTTTGTGGTGGTAAATAGACGGCTACGAAAAATATAGATGAGAACTCTCTTGGTAGAAAGTGTGGTCTACAGCTTATCATGAGCTTTCTACCGGAGGCGAGCAATACCTCGAGATTTCTTTAATATTAGACATCACGCACCAGCAGTTATTGACAAATAAACACACACCCCCGCCCCTCGTCTTACCAGACGTAGCTGCTCTGTCCTGCCGAAACACGGAGAAGCCAGCCAGCTCTATATTATCCGTGTCGTCGTTCAGCCACGTCTCGGTGAAACATAAGATATTACAGTTTTTAATGTCCCGTTGGTAGGATATCCTTAATCGTAGATCGTCCAGTTTGTTTTCCAATGATTGCACGTTGGCCAATAATACGGAGGGAAGTGGTGGTTTACCTACTCGTCGGCGAGTTCTTACAAGGCACCCCGCCCTCCTCCCCCCTCCTCCCCCTTTTCCTCCATCCTTTCTTCACGCTGATGACGGGGATTTGGGCCTTGTCTTGACAAAGCAGTATATCCTTCGCGTCGGACTCATTAAAGAAAAAACCTTTGTCCAGTTTGAGGTGAGTAATCGCTGTTCTGATGTCCAGAAGCTATTTTCGGTCATAAGAGACCGTAGTAACAACATACAATGCGAAAAAACTAACAAAATAGCACAGTTGGTTAGGAGCCCGTAAAACGGCAGCATTCCCCTCCATTATTAATAAGGGTCAAATTTAACGGTAACTATGAGAATGAGAATGTCAACATATTATTAAGGTCCATCAGACCGTCCAAAACTCTTTTTTTTCTAATGAACTTCGCAATACAAAGAATAATCCTGCCACACCAGCATCGTGAACATAAAAAAAAAGAACTGTCAAAGGGCAAGAAACATCCTTCCTTCCAATGGCAGTGAGGGCATTAGATTCAGGAGTATTGGAGAAGTAGAGTACTTGGAACATGGAAGCCATTGAGCAGGAGTCATGGGAGGGTGTTACAGGAGTTGCACAGGATGGGTAATGATGGTGGGTCGTTGGTGTGTTAACAATTCACATATCCAAGCAGTCCAAAGGTAGCTGTCAGTGCTTATGGTGAAGGTTTAGAATATAAAGTATTTAATCTTTGATTTAATCTCAGCAAAGACTACATTTTCTAAATGGTACATAAAAAATACTTCTAATCCATAATATGGATAGAAGAGTACATTAATCCATTGAGTTTGCTGAGTAAGTATTTGAAACAGTCCATTAATTGAGTCTTTAATATGGGATACACTACCTTCAGAAAGTATTCACATTCCTTTCACTTTTTCCACATTTTGTTGTGTTACAGCCTGAATTTAAAATTGATTGAATTGAGAGTTTTTGTCACTGGTGTACACACAATACAGCATAATGTCAAAGTGGAATTATGTTTTTCGAAATATTTACAAATTCATGAGAAATGGCTTGAGTCAATAAGTATTTAAACCCTTTGTTATGGCAAGCCGAAATAAGTTCAGGAGTAAAAATGTGCTTAACAAGTCACATATTGAGTTGCATGGACTCACTCTGTGTGCAATAATAGTGTTTAACATGATTTTCTTATGACTGTACCCCACACATACAATTATCTGTAAGGTCCCTCAGTCGGAGCAGTGAATTTCAAACACAGATTCAACCACAAACACCAGGGAGGTTTTCCAATGTCTCGCAAAGAAGGGCACCTATTGGTAGATGGGTAAAAATAAAAGAAGCAGACATTGAATATCCCTTTGAGCATTGTGAAGTTATTAATTACACATTGGATGGTGTATCAATACATCCAGTCACTACAAAGATACAGGCGTCCTTCCTAACTCCGTTGCCGGAGAGGAAGGAAACCACTCAGGGATTTCAACATGAGGCCAATTGTGACTAAAACAGTTACAGAGTTTAATGGCTGTGATAGCAGAACACTGAGGATGGATCCACAACATCATAGTTACTCCACAATACTAACCTAATTGACAGAGTAAAAAAAAAGGAAGTCTGTACGGAATAAAATTATTCCAAAACATGGATCCTGTTTGCAACAAGGCACTAAAGTATTACAGCAAAAAATGTGTTATGTTTGGGGCAAATCCAATAAAACATATTACTGAGTACCACTCTCCATATTTTCAAGCATAGTGGCAGCTGCATCATGTTATGGGTATGCTTGTTATCGTTAAGAATTGGGTAGTTTTTCAGGATAAAAAAGAAACGGAATGGAGCGAAGCACAGGCAACATCCTAGAGGAAAACTTGGTTCAGTCTGCTTTCCACCAGACACTGGGAGATTAATTCACCTTTCAGCAGGACAATAACCTAAAACACAAGGCCAAATCTACACTGGAGTTGCTTATCAAGAAGACAATAAATGTTCCTGAGTGGCCAAGTTACAGTTTTGACTTAAATCTACTTGAAAATCTATCGCAAGACCTGAAAATAGTTGTCTGGCAATGACCAACAACCAATTTGACATACCTTGAAGAATGTTTTAAAGAATAATGTGCAAATGTTGCACAATCCAGGTGTGGAATGCTCTTAGAGACTTTTCCAGAAAGACACACAGCTGTAATTGCTGCCAAAGGTGCTTCTACAAAGTACTAGCTCAGGGGTGTGAATACTTATGTAAATTAGATATTTCTGTATTTCATTTTCAATAAATGTGCAAACATAAAAAATAAAAAATAAATTCACTATTTCATTATGGGGTCTTGTGTATAGATGGGTGAGTTTTTTATTGATTTAATCCATTTTGAATTCAGGCTGTAACAACAAAATGTGGAATAAGTTAAGGTGTATGAAAACTTTCTGAAGGCACTGTAAATGCCATTATCGTGTATGGGTAGTTTGGAGGGGTGCATTTTCAAAATGGTACAGTAAGAATTACTCTATATCATAACATAGATAGTGGAGTAGTTGTACTACATTAATCCATTGAGTTTGATGACAAAGTATTTAAAACAGTCCTTTAATTAATTATTTAATATGGGATAAATGCCATTATTGTGTATGTGATGTAATTAGGTTTGGAGGAGTGGATTTTCTAAATGGTACAGTAAAAATGCTTCTAAAACATAACTTGATAAAAGAGTAGTTGTACTACATTAATCCAGTGAGTTTGCTGACAAAGTATTAGAAACAGTCCTTTAATTGAGTCTTTAATATGGGATACAGTAAATTCCATTATCACATACGTATGTGATGTAAGTACGTTTGGAGGGGTGCATTTTCCAAATGGTACAGTAAAGATGCTTCCAATCCATAACATAGATAGTGGAGTAGTTGTAAAACATTAATCCATTGAGTTTGCTGACAAAGTATTTGAAACAGTCCTTTAATTGAGTCTCCAATATAAGATAAATGGCAATATCACTTATGCGATGTAGGTAGGTTTGGAGGGGTGCATTATTCAAATGGTACAGTAAAGATGCTTCCAATCCATAACATAGATAGTGGAGTAGTTGTACTACATTAATCCAATGAGTTTGCTGAAAAGTATTAGAAACAGTCCTTTAATTGAGTCTTTAATATGGGATAAAAACTATGGATGGAAACGTGGTTTATGTGAAGTGGTAAAAGGAATTAAACCCTCTCAGAAAAAGACACCAAGTTATTCAAAACTGAGGAAAATCTGAAGTAGATCTACTATAAAATACCAACAAATGTTTCAGAGATATTATAGCCAGTATTTTAAGCGCATAAACCACTTGGGCACTTGCGTGCCTCTCTACCTCCTTCATCCACTCAAACTGACGTATGTTGGCGCGGCGGCACGCAGACCACCAACAACAACAGTGCGACGACGCGTCCAACCCAACCATTGTGTACACGGTACACACCATTCCAGAGTAGGCAATCGAAAACCCAACACACCAGAAATGATAAAATATTATTTTAACTCAATAGTCGGTGTTTTTCTTACCGTTTTACTGCAGAGAATTCATCCTTTGCTTGCAGAGAGTTCTCGGAGCATGCGCTGTACTGCTGCTTCGCTACACTTCCTGCAATGAAGGCAGAATTTGCCTGAGAAGCGTCTGTCCTACTGTCACGAGAAGCGGTTTGTTCGCACGCGATGTGTAAATCGGTCAAACTGCTCTACTAGGAGTGCACGGCTTACTTCAGGACCACAGAATGGCATGGTTTAGAAAAGCTTAAGGCTAAATTATTAGAATAGCTCACAACAACGACAAATATACTTTTTTATTTGACAGCAAGGATCATCATTAGGCCACGAAAGGAGTGTTGTTATAATACACATATATAATTTGCATGCAATAAGTGATGTTTGTTGAGCGTGTAAAATTATTTACCATAATAAATAGGTAGAAATCATTGCTCCAAGTTTGGTTGTACCAAAGGGTGGCGGACTTTTACAATTGTGTACAGTAGGCATAGAGCGCACATAGTTTTATTAGGCTATGGGCTCAACCATCTATTTATAGTAGCACTCAATTAAACTCAGAAAATGTAGGGATGGGAATGTATTCTCACCTGCTCTAATGAATTTTGCACAACTCCAGTCATTTCCAGCTATAGGGGGTGGTTGTCACTAAGCACATATCTAGGACCTGTGGACCCCTCTCAATCGACAAGAAATAACAAGTTATGTTGACCTTAGAGCAGCATTTATGGGTCCACATCTAGCAAGACCCAATCCACCCTTATTTGGGAAAGCAATTCTTAAAGTGATTTAATTGACACATCTGGAAGCCAATGAGATCTCACTTCATCTCCCTGTGCCCAATCGTAAGTATTCAATGCCTCGTATTATAGTATTTTCTGCAGAAGCGTACTGAGAAGTGTTATCCCGGAGTTTGAGGGATTGCTCCTTGCTTTTATCCGTGGAAATCATGTTCTTGAAGCCTGGACAGATTAGAGATGCTGTGAATTATTTTGGCCGTTTTTGGATCATCTTTAGTGTCGTGTTTATAATTGTCAACGGACAGGAGGGTAAGCTATTTATTCCCTTGTATATGTCCTCGTCAATGTATAGAAAAGTATAAGAGCAATAGACAACCAAATATACATTAGACTAGCTATCTTTTTCATAAATCGATTATTATATTTTTATTGAGATAATTACTGAGGCTTGACTGGATAATTTTCAAATAACTATACATTGTAGGCTATTATATTTATATAATAAAAGTTGTGGAATTGAGTTGGGACTGTAAACTGACATGAATTGCTTACATAAATGAGCATATTCACAGATTATCTTCATGTCATTTTAATGTTGTGTGGTGCTTACTTTATTGAAGATATTATCATCACTTTCTATGTAATGTATTTTTTGTTGGCTGAGGGCTACACACATTGTCCACATTTGAAACCGTTTGACATTTTCTATAGTGGCTATTGGTGACATAAATAGACAATGTGTTCCTGCTGCAATTTCCAGTTTTCAGAAGGTATATAACATAGATTATAGATCAATCAGATGATGCATGAGTTTAATTCAGTTTCTTATAAAAGTCCTCATAAACAAGGTAGCAGTTGTATTGGTAAATTAAAGGTACACTGCCCTTCTTTGGTAAGTCACTCTTATTGGCAAAGGGTGAGGTGTGTGTACCAATCCTCGTTTGGAGCTGTTCTGCTTGTGTTAGCCATTCCAAGTATTTACGACAAACTGAGCATCCTTTCAAGTCATGTCAAAGATTAAATATTGTATGCAAAAACCCTGTCACACATACAGTTGACTTCAGCAAAAGGAGTGCATGCAAGTAGTCAACAACACTAGCTTTGATAGGGTTTAAATTAATATAGGGGTACAGTTATAGCCTAGTTGTAACAACACTGGCTCAGTGCTCCAGTGACTAACTCTCTTCCACACATGGGGTGGATCAAACCAAAGCCACAAATATCTTTAAGTCTGTCTGGAGCAAACAATCCCGATAGTTCAAAAGTCATCTTTGATGTCATGGCGGCATTCCATTGCTGGTCCAGAGGCAGATAGTGAACTCTCATCTGTGTTTACCTTAGGGGTCCAGGTGGCAGGTATCCTAGTGGTTAGTGCGTTGGTCCAGTAACCGAAAGGTTGCTGGTTCGAATACCCAAGCCAACAAGGTGAAAAATCTGTCGATGTGCCCTTGAGCAAGGAACATAACTCTAGTTTGCTCCAGGGGTGCTGTACTACTATGGCTGACCTTATAATAAACACATTTAATTGCACCTATCTGGTGTATGTGACAAAACATAAATACATCTATTTTTTTTACCCACTATTCCCCACAGGAAGACTAGTAGGAAGACATGCAACAATAAGAGAGTGTACCCTGTGTGTTGACACAGTATTTCACAATCAGACAGGGGTCAACATGAATCACTGTAGCCATGTCCACACATATATGGAAACTTACTGTGAATCTTCACGCAGATCTGGGCTCTCTTGACGCATTTTGTTTTGCTGTTGGGGATTTAGTATCGTCACAGAGGAAGATGACCAATTCATGGTAAATGGCTTCCTCTGAATCACTTTGGCACCAGAGAGAAGCAAGAGACAAATGTACAGGAAAAAAACATATCAATCCTCTCCTGGTCTATTAATAACTCAGTGTGTGTTGTCATGCTCTGATTGACACAGTAGTATTTAGTGACAGATTACACAGCTAAACAATTCCCAATCATCTGTCCAGCTGATATTACTATGTTATTACTCTGTTGTCTACTATTCTTGGTATATCTGCCCCTGAAAGTGAGGGTTTTAAGAAGGATATCCATCATAATTTGAATGTTTGATTATATGCCTGAGACAGTTAGCCCAGTCTGTCTAGAGAGACATAAAAGCAGGAAGTATGGGCCAGTAGCAGGAATGCCAGGGTGTAGGCTTTTCACTCCATGGAACAACCAACAGCTATAACACGAGTTAAAGCCTAGCTTAGGTTGATCCCAAGCACTGAGGAAAGAGAGAGAGAGCCCCACTAGACAAGACCTTCATGAGACAGGCCAGGTCAAAGACGGGGTGAAAGGGGAGGAGTGCAGGGGGGAAGACTGGCCCGCCAACCCCAAAACATCCCCAGAATACTGCTCCCAAGCTTGAGGCCTCAGACTGGCTGGTGACACAGATCCACCCTCTGTTGCCCACGGCTACAGCTTGTCGCTCTGGCATTTCCAGGGAATCCTAGGGGACATGAAAAGGGGCAGTAGCGGTGAGAAGTTCTGGGAGTTAGAGAGAGAAAGAGAGAGAGAGAGAGAGAGAGAGAGAGAGAGAGAGAGAGAGAGAGAGAGAGAAAGAGAGAGAGAGAGAGAGAGAGAGCGAGAGAGAGAGAGAGAGAGAGAGAGAGAAAGAGAGAAAGAGAGAGAGAGAGAGAGAGCGAGAGAGAGAGAGAGAGAGAGAGGAGTACGAAAGAAAGATAGAAGGGGCCCAGTGGAAGAGTCTCTTAGCCGGACCGGAAAGGCTAACCAGTGTGACGTGTATGTGACATGTGAGTGGAAAGTAACAGAGACCACCAACTCTTCACCCAAAGTTAATTTTGAACCCAAGGGAGAACTGCGCTTCTTTCTGTCTGCCCTGGGAGCGTGGGTGTCCTTGGTTAGACCACAGTGCAAGTTTAAGCCAGCCAACCCCACAGCACTTACCTCTATGACCTGACACACTGAAACAGTCACATTAAGAATGTGTCTAGCTAAATATTTGAGTTCTTTCCGGTACAATAAAGAGTTAGTCATAGCCACAGAGGTTAGGAAGATTTAAGGATAGGGCATGAATAAGAGGTATGACACAGAGAGCTAGCAGGAAAACATTGATCAAGATGAAATACAAACAGAATGGAAGGGTGATGAGTTTGCTCAACAGTCTCTAGAATTAGGGAATAGTCCCTATAAGGGCTTTGTTCAATCAAACATGTTAACCCGTTAAAGAGTTATGATTGCAGTTTTGGATTAATGACACACTACTTCAAATCAAACACACTTTCTCATTGCCTTTGAATAATATTATTTTCCACTTCAATAGTTTTGATTGCATATGGCCTGCAATCTCTTTTTACTGTAAGCAGTGTCCTACAGTGTTGAGGAGGACTGCTTCAGCTGTTGGTTGTTTTTGGGGCATCTCGCGGTTATGATCTCAGGAGTGTAAACATCTCCTGCTCTACTGCGCACTCTCAGTGCTCCGTCCCTGGGGACTCCTATTACTCACCTTGTCTGGGAAAGGAGCCCTATAATTAACAAAGCTCTAAATAGTGTCTTTACCATATTAACATAATTAATGAAAGTCCCTGTTATGTACTGTGACTAAACAGTGGTGAACTTGGCTGTTCCTTCTGCTAACAAGCCCCAGCTGCCCCTCCGTACCGCCTACACTGCTAGTCATGCATTAATTAATGTCTCACACTTACACTCCAAGCATGTTTTTCTGTCTCTCATCCAAGTGGTCAAGGATTTCCTGGAAATAGCCATTATCGTATTCATGTGGACATTTGACATAACTGAGGATTTACGCTGGATGCCAAAGCAACATGACTTTCCTACCCTTCCCAGTCCAAAACATGTATTGAAGGAACTGTGAATTGTTATTACCATAAACAATGTCATGAAAGATAATTTGCCTGGAATTAGGCACCAAACCATTGCATATACGGCAGATGTATTATGTACAAGTACAATAACTGTTATAACTGTAAGTTTGGTTGTCTTCATATTTCAGGCAATGGCTGCGGGCACACTGTGATGGGCACAGAGAGTGGCACTCTAGCCTCTCAGAACTACCCAGGCACCTACCCTGTTGATTCCTGGTGTAAGTGGAGACTGCGAGTGCCAAAGGGACGTACACTACGGCTCCTCTTCGGGGACTTTGACGTGGAAAGGAGTCCCGGCTGCAGGAATGGCTCCCTCACCATCACATCTAACAACGGAGCTCCCAGCCTGGGTAAGACTCTCCAGTGCACACTGGGCCACTGACCTGACTGGCCGTGTGCTTGTCTCTACTTTTACAAGGAATTTACTGTATATGCTATTGACAAACTATTTTCATAGTGAGATTCAGAATTCTCACTCAAGTTCTGACTGACTGAATTAATGCTTGTCATTAAGACAAATCCACCCACTTCTGATGGACCACTTGATCTGTCTCCTTTGTTATGTAGTTCATTCAAAACCACTCTTTGTTACTAGTAAAAGCCATACAGTGTAGCCTGAATTCCATTGCAAAGGCAGAGAGCACATTAACACAATTTCACTGCCAATGCATCTCTGCCAATTCTACACCACTATGGTGCATCCAGCCATACCTTGCGGGCACAAGGGTATGACGTCCTTCCTAGATATTTGAGGACAGTTCCAGAGGCTGTATGTAACTATTCAGCTTATTATATTGTTTTTATTAGCGGATTCCACAGGGGCAACTTCATGCTGTTCTGGAGCTCACTCCATGTCATTTGTTCTGCAGCACTACACAAACATGACTAGGAGACCACACACTAGCCTAGCGGTTTTGCTTGTTCCATGCTCTCTGTATTTGTGTGTGTTTTGCATCCACCACAGTCTGACATGTGGTGTGTGTGTGTGTATGTGTGTGTGTGTGGGTGTGTGTGTGTGTGTGTGTGGGTGTGCATTCATGCATTCGTCCATGTATGTCTGCATGCATGCGTGCATCTGGGAGTCCTTGTGTGTGTGCTTGCATGTGTGGTGTATGCGTTCTTGCGTGCATGCCTGTGTGTCTGTCATCCACAGGCCCCCTGTGTGGACAGCTTGAAGCCTCAGAAAAAAATGTGACCGTAAACAGCAATGAGGTGACAATAGTATTCAACTCTGGCCCCCATCACTCAGGCCGAGGGTTCCTGTTCTCCTACACCACAGACCAACACTCAGGTATGGCCCAATTCATCACACACTGCTCACACGTTTACTTTCTATAGATTCTTTGTTTATACAACTGTACTACATATGGAAATGATTAATCTAATTTCATTAATTCATCAACAATCACATTACACACAGAATGCTGATGATAAGATATTATTTTCCCACGTGTACAGTAGCTCTGCTGTGGAACTTTCTCAGTGAAAGCAATGACCCACACTGTGAAAAAAAGTTGATTCAACGTACAATTGTCAGGCAACCGGCAGCAATAGGATTGTGTTTGCTCAACATTGCTCAGCATATAGCTGAACCAACATACATTCTCAAGTTGAATTGTATGTTCACTCAACATTGAATTATAGGTTGAGTGAACATACAATTCAACTTGACAATTTATTCTACCTTCTTGGCATATTTTCCCGGTGTAAAATGTTACTATTTATGACAATACATTTCATAAGGCCTTTCTTTGAAGGCCTAGTTACACCCTAACTCAGTGGTCTGAAACTCCTGGTTTACACGCCACATCAAGCCTGCAAGTCACATTATGCTGGCTTGCAAAGTGATGTGCAATTCCTATTGGAACCCAGACAGTGTGAAGATGCTATTTGTGTTTGTGTAGCAATCGATGTACATGCAGAAATACAGGTATTGAAACAAACAATTCTGAAAATCAAGCTGCAATAGAGCATGCTGGGAAATATGATAATGATGGGACGAAAAAGTAAGAAAAAGTACAGTACGAAAAAGTATGAAAATGTATGCACTCACTACTGTAAGTCGCACTGGATAAGAGTGTCTGCTAAATTACTAAAATGTAAAATGTAAATGAGAGTGGTTTTGAGCAAACATTTGTAATTTTACTCAACAAGCTTGTTTGTCAACCTATAATTGTAAGACAACCAGCTGCAATAGAATTGTGAGTTTTCTCAACATTTGGGCATATACAGTAGCAGAACCAACATACAGTGTTGCCTTCCAAAGGCAAACATGAATTTGTAATTTTACTCAACAAGCTTTTTCAAATTCACTCACTTTGAGCAGAGTTTGTTGAGTGGACAAATTTGAACACATTAGCTCAAATTCTTGTCCATTTGAAGTCCACTCAACTCACAGAATAACGCTGACTAAGCAATTGTTTAAGATGTCTTTTTTACAGTGCCCCTGACTCAGTAACATTGATAATAATATAATAATATGCCATTTAGCAGACGCTTTTATCCAAAGCGACTTACAGTCATGCGTGCATACATTTTTGTGTATGGGTGGTCCCGGGGATCGAACCCACTACCTTGGCGTTACAAGCGCCGTGCTCTACCAGCTGAGCTGAAGAGCACCCACTGTGATCATAATTGTTGTTTTTCTGCCCATCACCTACATCACTGGTAACCCCAAAGTGCTGCTAAGCAAGTTGAAAGGCATAAACAGGCATTACTGAGGTGTCAAAGAGACTGGAAACATGCTGTAATTTCATACCCAACCGCATTTAAGTCCAGCATTAGAGTTGATGGAGTCACTGGCATGAAGTCAGTTTAATGTATGTATGCACACACGTTTACGCCAATGAAATTTGTACGCTAACATTTGTGTGTGTTGGAGTGCCTTGTGAGTGTGTATTGGTGTGTGTGTCTATTGGAATGCAGCTCCTATCCCTATCTAAGCATCCAGGGTGATTGCTCAGTAGGCAGGAGAGTAAGGACCCTTCTCCTGGGCTGAATGAAGAGGCCTCAAGGCTTTAGACTGCCACTCTGAGTGGGTGGATAGCTATGTGTTCACTCCTCCTCCTCAGGTCAGCTTAGTCAAATCAGCAACACGGTAACGGTTGCCAACCCACTCTCAAGCTGGTGGTGGCCGATGAGAGGATCTCACAAACAGATGCACTGGACTGGACATCTGGTGAAATGTGTTGTTTGCAAGGCGAGATATCATTGTTTGTGATACTACAGTACTACAATAGGTTATTATTACAGTTTTTTTTCAATCTCTTTGGCACATTTTTCAAATGTAAGTGGCATATTTTCAAAACTCTTAAGAACAAAACTCTAAATTGATAACTCTTGTAATGCCCCCTATCTTATGTTTAGAACCTTTGATTGTGCATTCATTGGGGTTTTACACATCTTTCACCCCTGAGTGATTCATGCTAAATCAAAGTTTTCCGTGAAATACCATGAGAACATTTAAGTTTAGTCACCAATACATCAGATAATGATAGACTAATAATTTAGTCATTTTAACTACCATTTAATCCAATATCAAAAATACAAGATACACATGTCAAAACTGTTCTTTTTACATTTACATTTTGCAGACGCTCTTATCCAGAGCGACTTACATGAGCAATTAGGGTTAAGTGCCTTGCTTAAGGGCACATCGACAGATTTTTCACCTAGTCGGCTCGGGGATTAGAACCAGCGACCTTTCGGTTACTGGCACAACGCTCTTACCCACTACGCTACCTGCTGAATAGAAACAATACTAGATGGTAAATATAATTTTCCATACAGTATGTCACTACAACTTGACATGCAATTTTTGTATCTAATTTATATCCAATGGCAGGTTGTGAGCATCTTGAGAAATAGGACAGTCTTACAGTTGAATTATCCTTATACAGTACATACTGTCACAAGTGTAGAGAGGAGTAGGCAGTCGCAGGTTTAGAACTACTGAATTTATTAACGCACCATAGCTTAAAGTGGGACGAAACCGACAGTGCAAAATATAAAGTACTCAGGAACTAGTAGGAGAGATCCCTCTCAGGAAAACAAGCAACATATACAATGACCGACAAAGACAAATGACAGAGGGAGTATATACAGTGGGGAAAAAAGTATTTAGTCAGCCACCAATTGTGCAAGTTCTCCCACTTAAAAAGATGAGAGAGGCCTGTAATTTTCATCATAGGTACACGTCAACTATGACAGACAAAATGAGAAAAAAAAATCCAGAAAATCACATTGTAGGATTTTTTATGAATTTATTTGCAAATTATGGTGGAAAATAAGTATTTGGTCACCTACAAACAAGCAAGATTTCTGGCTCTCACAGACCTTTCTGGCTCTTTCCACCATAATTTGCAAATACATTCATTAAAAATCCTACAATGTGATTTTCTGGATTTTTTTTTCTCAATTTGTCTGTCATAGTTGACGTGTACCTATGATGGCAATTACAGGCCTCTCTCATATTTTTAAGTGGGAGAACTTGCACAATTGGTGGCTGACTAAATACTTTTTTCCCCCACTGTATATGAGGGTGAGATACGATAATTGACAGGGAGCTCTTCTTCACGAAAAAGGAATCCTTGGGCCTCCTGGATGTAGACCTCCATGGCTTCAGTCTCTGCATGTGAGAGAGGGTAGATGTTCCCCCCGCGGGAGGGTAGAACCAGGCAGTAGGTTGATAGTGCAGTCCCATGGGTGATGAGTGGGCAGGCATGTGGCACGAGTCTTCAAAAAATCCACTTGTAGGTCCCGGTATTCCTCCGGGATAGGGACGTGGGTGGCATGGTCCGGACTTTTCACGGAGGTGGCACAGATAGACACAGAGAGACCTCCTCTGACACTCCTGTGACCAAACCAACAACCTCCTCTCTATCCACGATATACTGGGGTTATGCAACTGTAACCAGGGGTGTGCAGGAGAGTCTAAGATGAGGAACGTGATGCGTTCATGGTTGTTATAATCAACTGTGAGTGAAATGGGAATCGTGGTCTGGCTCACCAGTCCTGTTCCTAGTTGTCTAGGGCATGGACTGGGATAGGGGGTTGTAAAGGGACTAGAAGAATGCGTAATGATAAGGCCACTGACTGGTCTAGGAAATTGCCTGCAGCACCTGAGTCCACTAGGGCAGGACTCAGTGGGGGACCAGGAGAGTCAGGGAAGGTGACAGGGAGGAGGACGGGCTGGGTGGACAGAGAGGAGAAAGGCACATCCACGCCTACCTGGGAAGGTGCAGGAGCGCTCCTTGGCCTGTCGCTTCCTCAACTGGTTCTCCTTCTGGGACAGGTGTTCCAGGGGTGGTCCGACTCCCCGCAGTAGGAGCAGAGACCCTGTTGACGGCGGAGTTGACGTTCCTCTGGGGGAAGGTGCATCGTGCCCACCTCCATGGGCTCAGTCTCGCTGGAGGTTCCTGGGAGAGACCCGAACCCCTGGGATGGGCGACGATTGGCGGAGATTATCCAGGTGGATGGCTATGGCGATGAGCTGGTCCAGCGTGAGGTCCTCATCGCGACAGGCCAGCTCGGTCTGGACGTCCGCCTGTAGCCCACTGCGGAAAACCATCAACAGGGCCTGGTCGTTCCAGCCAGTGGAAGCAGCCACTGTCCAGAAATCCAGAGCGTACTCAGATGCTGTCCTGGACCCCTGGCGCAGATGGAGGAGATACTCACCTCCCTCTCGGCCCTCTGTTGGGTGGTCGAAAACGGCATGGAAGAGTTGATGAAAGCGCTCATAGGACTGTACTTCTGGACCGTCCCTCTCCCAGACGGCGTGCGCCCACTCCAGAGCCCGGCCTGTCAGCACTGAAATCACCAAGGCTACCTTGTCCCTCTCGGAGGCCATCCCGGCATGACATGCAAGGTGGAGGTCACACTGCAGGAGAAATCTCCTACAGTGAGCTGGGGTGCCGTCAAACCACTCCGGGAGGGGCAGGTGGACGTTGCTGATCGGACCGGGTGATGTAGATGGTGGTGGCTTGGCTGGAACGACTGTGAGGAGCTGGGAAGGTGGAGGTGTAGCCTGCAGTTGGCGCACGGTCCGGATCACCTTGTCCATGGCAGTCCCGAGGTGCACCAGGCACGAGTCGTTCGCTCCTACAGAGGAGAGGTCGAGATGTCCTGCTGCCTCCTGTTTTCTTGGGTCGGTCATTCTGTCACAAGTGTAGAGAGGAGTAGGCAGGAGGCAGTCGCAGGTTTAGAACTACTGAATTTATTAAAGCGGGACGAAACCCACAGTGCAAGATATAAAGTACTCAGGAAATAGTAGGAGAGATCCCTCTCAGGAAAACAAGCAACATATACAATGACCGACAAAGACAAATGGCAGAGGGAGTATATATACACTGATAGAGTGGGGATTGGAACCAGGTGTGTGTAATGATGATGAGACAAGTCCGGGGTTGATGAGTGAAGGGCGTTTGCCAGCAGCAGGTTCGGCAGCAGCTAGAAGGGAGCCAAAGCGAAGGCTGGTGTGACACATGCGTAGGACAAATCATCAGAAATAGAGGTATTGTAAAGCAGTTGGCTACTTTTAAAATGTGGTACGGTGTGTTGTATGTCATTTCTGCCCCATGCAACATTGTACAAGATCACTTTTTCTACGTGACTTGTCAACTCATATACAATAGTATCACCTGTATCTCTGCTTGAAATTTATCAGCTTACTGTGTATCAATGAAATTCAGAAAATTAGTGTAATATATTGTTATATACAACCCAGGTATTTCAGCAGTGCATTGTACACTACAGTATAATTCCAAATGGTAGCACATAGTGTGACTCTTTGCACTTTGTCCTACGTATTGAAGCACACTGGCTGATGGAGAATGATAATGTAGTATTTACAGCCACATCCATATATAATTAGGTTTTACCTTCCAACATAAATTGATGTAAAATGTATACATTTATGAGGTAAAAATATATATTATTCAGTGTTCAGCCGTTATCAAACTATATACGTTAACAAGGCAATACATCATTTTGGTTCAGTAGTTATCAGTTTTGAGCAGTTTGATTAGTGATTGTTCAATTTTTGGGCAAAAAGGCAGACTCAGCTCCATCATTCATTGAATCATCACAAAAACCCACTGATATTGCCAACTACTTTAATTATTTTTTTCATTGGCAAGATTATCAAAATTAGGCATGACATGCCAGCAACAAACGTTGACACTACACATCCAAGTATATCTGACAAAATTATGAAAGACAGGCATTGTAACTTTGAATTCCGTAAAGTGAGTGTGGAAGAGGTGAAACAATTATTGTTGTCTATCAACAATGACAAGCCACCGGGATCTGACAACTTGTATGGAAAATTACTGAGGATAATAGTGGACGATATTGCCACTCCTATTTGCCATATCTTCAATTTAAGCCTACTAGAAAGTGTGTGCCCTCAGGCATAGAGGGAAGCAAAAGTCATTCCGCTACCTAAGAATAGTAAAGCCCCCTTTACTGGCTCAAATAGCCGACCAATCAGCGTGTTACCAACCCTTAGTAAACTTTTGGAAAAAATTGTGTTTGACTAGATACAATGCTATTTTACAGTAAACAAATTGACAACAGACTTTCAGCACGTTTATACATTCAACAAGCACAGCACTTACACAAATGACTGTTGATTGGCTGAGAGAAATTGATGATAAAAAGATTGTGGGGGCTGTTTTCTTAGACTTCAGTGTGACTTTTGACATTATCGATCATCGTCTGTTGCTGGAAAAATGTATGTGTTATGGCTTTACACCCCCTGCTATATTTTGGATAAACAGATACCTGTCTAACAAAACACAGAGGGTGTTCTTTAATGGAAGTGTCTCCAACATAATCCAGGTAAAATCAGGAATTCCCCAGGGTAGCTGTCTAGGCCCCTTACTTTTTGCAATCTTTACTAACGACATGCCACTGGCTTTGACTAAAGCCAATGTCTATGTATGCAGATGACTCAACACTATACATGTCAGCTACTACAGCGACTGAAGTGACTGCAACACTTAACAAAGAGCTGCTGTTAGTTTCAGAATGGGTGGCAAGGAATAAGCTAGTCCTAAATATTTCAAAAACTAAAAGCATTGTATTTGGGAGTAATCATTCACTAAACCCTAAACTTCAACTAAATCTTCTAATGAATAATTTGGAAATTGAGCAAGTTGAGGTGACTAAACTGCTTTGAGTAACCCTGGATTGTAAACTGTCATGGTCAAAACATATTGATACAACAGTAGCTAAGATGGGGAGAAGTCTGTCCATAATAAAGCGCTGCTCTGCCTTCTTAACAGCACTATCAACAAGGCAAGTCCTACAGGCCCTAGTTTTGTCACACCTGGACTACTTTTCAGCCGTGTGGTCAGGTGCCACAAAGAGGGACTTAGGAAAATTACAATTGGCTCAGAACAGGGCAGCACGGCTGGCCCTTGGATGTACACAGAGAGCTAACATTAATAATATGCATGTCAATCTCTCCTGACTCAAAGTGGAGGAGAGATTGACCTCATCACTACTTGTATTTGTGAGAGGTATTGACATGTTGAATGCACCGAATGCAGCTCGGACACCAATGCATACCCCACAAGACATGTCACCAGAGGTCTCTTCACAGTCCAGAACAGACTATGGGAGGCGCACAGTACTACATAGAGCCATGACTACATGGAACTCTATTCCACATCAAGTAACTCATGCAAGCAGTAAAATTAGATTTTTAAAAACAGATAAAAATACACCTTATGGAACAGCGTGGACTGTGAAGTGACACAAACACAGGCACAGACACATGCATACACAGACATGATAACATACACACAAGTACACATGGATTTTGTGTTGTAGATATGTGGTAATAGAGTAGTGGCCTGAGGGCACACACTTAAGGTGTTGTGAAAACTGTTGTGAATGTATTGAAATGTTTTTTAAAATTGTATAACTGCCTTCATTTTGCTGGACCCTAGGAAGAGTAGCTGCTGTATTGTATTGTTAACAAATGACAAGAAATTCATATCAAATGTAAAGTGAATATTGCATTTTGAAAAGCAGATGCAGTACTTAGGTTGAATATGTATCCAAACTAAATGAGTGATTTGGTGCAGTAAACAAGTGACTTTGTGAATGTATCTGTTGTACTCAGTCAATTGAAAATGTGCTTAGAGTTTTGAAACACGAGCCTTTTTGATTATCTGTTTAGATTTTTGTGCTTCAAATTGTAAAAATGTACCACATACTTGTGAAAATCATTCCCAAAAGAAGGAGATGTTTTTGACTAGACATTGTTGCCTCATTGATAGTAGAATTAGCGATAGAACCAATGTGTGCACCGTGCACTGATCTTTTTTTGGGTCATAAAATGACCTTTTACCCAATTTACAGCCACAAATAGTGTACTTGTAAATAGTTTTTTTCTCCAATTCAAGCTAAAGTGGTTTGTATATCCCTGTTTCCTGTTATTTACTCAGTTGTTTATGAAATGCAGCTATGTCTGGAGCCAGTACCACAAATTGCACTCTGTCACATGTTAACACACAAGAGGCACAAAATACTTAGTCACATCTGCAGTAACAATCACAAGACCCCTGTACGTTCATTACATTTCAGTCATTTAGCAGACGCTTTTATCCAGAGCGACTTACAGTCAGTGAGTGCATAATTATTTTTTTCATACGTGCGTGCATGTGTGTGTGTATACTGTATGTGCTTCTGTATACGTGTCTGTATATGTGTGTGTATGTGTGTGCCTGTCTGTTTGTGTTACACACCCGTCCATTGCGAAGTTCCTTAGAATTATCCTCAAGAGTGGACAGATGTTTTTTGTGTTGTTTGTTTATGAACCCATTTTCCATTTGAATTCAATCCCAGGTCTCATTTCGTGTCGACAGAGAGGAACACATTTTATCTCTCAGCAGTTTAGGTAAGTGGACAACTCTGGCTATTTCAGTAGTCACTTCTCAGCGTTGTTTTTGCTGTGAACCAAATGTAGTCATAGACTGTTCTCTCTGCTTCCGCACGGCAAGCGGTACAGGAGCACAAAGTCTAGGTCCAAAAGGATTCTTAACAGCTTCTACCCCCAAGCCATAAGACTCCTGAACAGCTAATCATGGCTATCCGGACTATTTGCATTGCACCCCCCCCCCCCCCCCCACACACCCCCTCTTTTACGCTGCTACTACTCTGTTTATTATCTATACATAGTCACAATAACTCTACCCACATGTACATATTACCTCAATTACCTCGACTAACCGGTGCCCCCGCACATTGACTCTGTACCTGTACCCCCTGTATATAGCCTCCCTACTGTTATTTTATTTTACTGCTGCTCTTTAATTATTTGCTCTTTTTTTTTTTCTTAAACTGCATTGTTGGTTATGGGCTTGTAAGTAAGCATTTCACTGTAATGTCTACACCTGTTGTATTTGGCGCATGTGGCAAATAAAATTAGATTTGATTTGATTTAATTTGAGAACTTATTTTTTACTTATCTATATTTTACTTAACACTTATTTTTCTTAAAACTGCATTGTTGGTTAAGGGCTTGTAAGCATTTCACTATAAGGTCTACACCTGTTGTTTTCGGCGCATGTGGCAAATAACATTTGATTTGATACAGGCTTGTTGAGGAATTATTAAGGTATGGATATAGAGAAACTGTGTGTGAAATGGTGGACCTCTGTGACACGTGACTCCTCTTGTCCAGTGTGTACTGTCCTGCTGGGTGTAAGGATGTGACAGGGGACATCTGTGGTCACTCTGAGCAGGGTTACAGAGATGTGAGTATACTGCCTCAGCTCCATTCTCACTCCCTCATCAACTCAGCCTTGTGATAATGACATCGGTTGCACTGGTCACTTGAGGAAGGCTAAACAGTGGAGAGATGCAAAAGTTTATTGAAACTATTTGTTCTCTCTCTCTTTCTCTCATTCTCTCTCTCATTCTCTCTCTCAATCTCTCTCTCTCTCTCTCTCTCTCTCTCTCTCTCTCTCTCTCTCTCTCTCTCTCTCTCTCTCTCTCTCTCTCTCTCTCTCTCACAAACACACATTCCCCCACCTCACCCAGACGTCAGTGTTGTGCAAAGCTGCGGTCCATGCCGGGGTGGTGTCAGACAACGTAGGAGGACAGATCACTGTGACCCGTGGGAGGAGCCTCACGCTTTATGAGTCCAGCTTTGCCAACGGCATTCTGTCCAAGATGTATGTTTCCATCCACATCATATTGAAAGGGGTTTGGGAGGAAGGGATGCGTATTCATTATTCATGATGACATACTGTGTTAATATTTGCTGAATTCAGAAAGGTAACATTTCATGTAACTCTCCAGGACCACTGTAGGGGTTATTGGGGAGCTGAAATGTGGGCCACTTACTGTAAATGGATCCGCTCTTGCTTATGGTATATAGGGATGCCATTCATGAACATTGTTGTTTTGACAGGGGATCACTGTCTGAAAACAAACTGGTCTTCAGCAAAGGTAAGCGGAACCAGGATATAACGTCAGACTGAATTAGCTGTTCAAGTCATTATTGCAAGTTATTTTATTGCAGTTTTTATTTTGTTATGTCAGTCAGACAATCACTCAATTAGCCATGTCAGCTAACATTTTTTTCAATTGGCAGTTAGTCTAGCCAGCTAACTAAACTTGTAGTAATCATGTCCGAATACCGACCAGGCACGCAGGGGGCCCCCATTTATTTTGTTAGTCATTCTCACTCAGATTCAATATTAACATGGCATAAGTCATAAAAAAATGTGTAGAATTGCAGGAAATGTGCTTTAAAACTGCAAAGTTTTCTCTACGCCCCATAGCAAAATGTGCAGAATTGCAGGAAATGAACTTTAAAACATACATTTTTCTCTCCACCGTCAAGAGGGGTGCCACTAAAATGTTTTGCCGTGAGATGCTTAGGGCCCCCAAAAATCTAGAGCTGGCCCTATTCCTCTGTTAATCCAACTCTTCTTGCCTCTCCACTCCCAACAGAGTGTAATGAGGAACTGACTGTTTCTGGTTTCAATGCATCTTCCATCTGGAGAGAAGTGAACAAACTGGGGCAGCTTGTATTATGGTCCCCTAAGAACATGGATGCCGAGGGACAGTTACTACCCTGGGCATCGGACGGTAGTGACCGGGAGCCCTGGCTGGAGCTAGAGCTTACAGACAAGGGCAGTGTCACAGGTCAGTGAAAGGTTATGAGGTGATGTTCTTCTCCTCTCATGGTCAAAATAGGAGTTTAATTTACTACATCCACTATAATTAGCTTTGAGTGGTTATTAAAATGAAAATATGAAGATAGAAACCACTGCTTTTTCATTGAACTCAAAATACTATTTTGCTGATTTCAAAACTCTATTGAGTGGATGAAAAAAACTTCCAGTTCCATCTGTGATGTTGATAGGCTAACTTCTAGTTAGATTTGCCAAACAATCAGTGTGTAGCCTATTATGAATGTGGTCTGGAGTGTTGAAAACGACACGCTGTGTTTTCCCAGGAATAATAACAAGGGGATCGGCTGACTTCTACATCGAATCTTACGTTCTCCTTTTTAGCAAAGACCGCCGCAACTGGAAGGTTTACAAAGCTGCTCTCAGCAGAGAGAAAAAGGTACGCTGCGTGCAATGTTTTCTTCGACATTTACTTATCAATTTCCTATCTGTGCTAAGTTTTCCTAGCTGCTCTGAGCAAACAGAGACTTTGGGAGGCCGTAGAACAGGGAAGTGCTGTTAGTCATTTAAGAGAACTAGCTGAGTTAATGTCACACTTCTTGGCCTGTAGGTGTTTGAAGCCCACTCTGATGGTCATCTGAGGGTTCTCAATAGCCTGTTTCCTCCGGTGGTGGTCCGGTACCTCCGGCTGCAGCCCCAGAGCTGGCAAGGTAGGGCCTCAGCACACGTCCAAGTCCTGGGCTGCCCTCTCCCCAAGATCCACCCCAGGCCTCGCTCCGCTGGGGGTAAGGCTCAACCATACATTCCAGATAAAAACAGTCTAGAAAATGTGAATACTACATGCTCTTAGCAACTGAGCCACTAGAATAAACGTTCCATTGTATTGTACGGCAAATTGCAATTGTGGCATCAGCAAGAGAGAATGTAGCTTGTATGCTGGATGCCATTCATATCATATCCTCCAACTCTCTCTATAGGATCTCCATCCTTAAAAGTTGATGTTAGCACAACACCTCTCCCCAATCCAGTCCCCACAGAGGACCCTGTTATCATAAAGGACTCAAGCCTGAGTATGTACCTAATGTGTTCAAACCCCTAAAAGTCTAAGCCTTTCAGGGATCATTTTGCTATTTAAATTTTAATTTTAGGAGATTAGGTATCCATTAAAAATTATATATACAGTGAGGGAAAAAAGTATTTGATCCCCTGCTGATTTTGTACGTTTGCCCACTGACAAAGACATGATCAGTCTATAATTTTAATGGTAGGTTTATTTTATTGGCGGTACCGACTTCAGACGAGTCTCATAACGCTTGTGGGGGTCGTAGAGCAAAATGGAGAACACCATCGTGTGAGTCTCATCTTTCCATATATTAGTTTGTAGTCCAAACAGACATTTTTGTGAAAAGACAGATTTTTGGGATGTCTCCTGGTCTGACAAATACTGCTGTAGCTCTGCCAACTTCCATCGCAGATGTGGAAGGCCGACATCGGTGGATGTGGTGGATTGAGATGCAGCCCATGCAAAACTGATATCTCTAGCTTAAACAGATGGATTTTGATGGGGATTTGTGTATTATGTTAATTCGATTTACACACGGACGCAGGCATTGACTCAAGTTTTTTTTTAAGTACTTCATATTTTTCAATTTGAACTGCAGCAGTTTTTGAGGAGTTTAATTTGTATTTTATTGATCGGAATAAGCCTTGGGGCCACCTTGCCTTTTTTAACACCTGTAAAAATTGTTATACGACAATATCGATTTTGATGTTAGAGTGCTTATTTGCTTGACACTGGACTTCCTTCACATTGTTATAAAGCACATAGCTGTTAAAAGATAGATGGGAGGTGTTGAATGGAATTGAAGGATGGGACTAATAACAACTAACAACAAACAATAACAAGATAACTAATAATGTAGGCACGCTGTGTCCATAATAAGTGTATGGGTTGTAGGTTGAGAGCTTTTGTGAAAGAGCACAGTTAGAAAGATATGGCATATAAGCAAACCGGATGGACATCATGAAAATGATCGGAGAGGTTGAGAGTAGAAGAAGTTCAGGAGAAAGAACAAACAAAATGTAATTATTGTAAAATTGACTGTGTCCATAAAATGTAGATAGTGGGTATGGGTTGGAAGTAGAGGCCTAGGCGTTGTTGTTCACTAGTTTAGTCCAAGTGGGGAAAGGGTGGCGGGGTTGGAAAGTAATAAAGGGGAATATATTATATATTTTTTAAAGGATATGTATGTGTATGTATGTATGTGGGTGTGTATGTGTGTGTGTGTATGTGTGTATATGTATATCTATATGTGTATGTATGTGTATGTGTATGTATGTGGTCCTCTGTAGCTCAGCTGGTAGAGCACGGCGCTAGTAACGCCAAGGTAGTGGGTTCGATCCCCGGGACCACCCATACACACAAAAAAAATATGTATGCACGCATGACTGTAAGTCGCTTTGGATAAAAGCGTCTGCTAAATGGCATATTATTATATTATATATATATATATATATATATATATATATATATATATATATATATATAAACATGGGGGATTGGAAGTGATGCAGACAATTACATTGATGGAAGTTACAATCTATCTGCAATATTAAGCTGATCTACCCCCCAAAAAACACACAAAAATAAATAAATAAATAAATAAATAAAGCACATACAGTGAGGGGGAAAAAGTATTTGATCCCCTGCTGATTTTGTACCTTTGCCCACTGACAAAGACATGATCCGTCTATAATTTTAATGGTATGTTTATTTGAACAGTGAGAGACAGAATAACAACTAAAAAATCCTAAAAAATGCATGTCAAAAATGTTAAAAATTGATTAGCATTTTAATGAGGGAAATACGTATTTGACCCCTCTGCAAAACATGACTTAGTACTTGGTGGCAAAACCCTTGTTGGCAATCACAGAGGTCAGACGTTTCTTGTAGTTGGCCACCAGGTTTGCACAGGTCTCAGGAGGGATTTTGTTCCACTCCTCTTTGCAGATCTTCTCCAAGTCATTAAGGTTTCGAGGCTGACGTTTGGCAACTCAAACCTTCAGCTCCCTCCACAGATTTTCTATGGGATTAAGGTCTGGAGACTGGCTAGGCGACTCCAGGACCTTAATGTGCTTCTTCTTGAGCCACTCCTTTGTTGCCTTGGCCGTGTGTTTTGGGTCATTGTCATGCTGGAATACCATCCACGACCCATTTTCAATGCCCTGGCTGAGGGAAGGAGGTTCTCACCCAAGATTTGACGGTACATGGCCCCGTCCATCATCCCTTTGATGCGGTGAAGTTGTCCTGTCCCTTTAGCAGAAAAACACCCCCAAAGCATAATGTTTCCACCTCCATGTTTGATGGTGGGGATGGTGTTCTTGGGGTCATAGGCAGCATTCCTCCTCCTCCAAACACGGCGAGTTGAGTTGATGCCAAAGAGCTAGATTTTGGTCTCATCTGACCACAACACTTTCACCCAGTTCTCCTCTGAATCATTCAAATGTTCATTGGCAAACTTCAGATGGCCCTGTATATGTGCTTTCTTGAGCAGGGGGACCTTGCGGGCGCTGCAGGATTTCAGTCCTTCACGGCGTAGTGTGTTACCAATTGTTTTCTTGGTGACTATGGTCCCAGCTGCCTTGAGATCATTGACAAGATCCTCCTGTGTAGTTCTGGGCTGATTCCTCACCGTTCTCATGATCATTGTAACTCCACGAGGTGACATCTTGCATGGAGCCCCAGGCAGAGGGAGATTGACAGCTATTTTGTGTTTCTTCCATTTGCGAATAATCGCACCAACTGTTGTCACCTTCTCACCAAGCTGCTTGGCGATGGTCTTGTAGCCCATTCTAGCCTTGTGTAGGTCTACAATCTTGTCCCTGACATCCTTGGTGAGCTCTTTGGTCTTGGTCATGTTGGAGAGTTTGGAATCTGATTGATTGATTGCTTCTGTGGACAGGTGTCTTTTATACAGGTAACAAACTGAGATTATGAGCACTCCCTTTAAGAGTGTGCTCCTAATCTCATCTCGTTACCTCTATAAAAGACACCTGGGAGCCAGAAATCTTTCTGATTGAGAGGGGGTCAAATACTTATTTCCCTCATTAAAATGCAAATCAATTCATAACATTTTTGACATGCGTTTTTCTGGATTTTTTTTGTTGATATTCTGTCTCTCACTGTTTAAATAAACCTACCATTAAAAGTATAGACTGATCATTTCTTTGTCAGTGGGCAAACGTACAAAATCAGCAGGGGATCAAATATTTTTTTCCCTCACTGTAGCTAATTAATAGTTTAAAGCTGGCCTTTCTTCAGCAGCGGCTGTTTGTTGTATTGACCGTTCAACCTAGCATACTGATTGGTCCTCCTGTGCCCTGCAGGCTCCAATCAGCCAGTGATAGTGGTGGTGGGCGTGATCCTCGGACTGATCCTGTGTGTTAGTTGTCTGTTGGCTGGAGTCTGGTGGAATAGAAGGTATTGTAACACCATATGTAGGGTAGCAGTCCAACACCCCCTCACTGGCTATCCTCCCAATGCTTGATATTTTAATTTAGGCCTAGATTCAATCAGATCAAGTGTTAACCGGCGATAGCTCACACCCACATAGCTGTTGTTTTGGCGGTGTCGAAGGTGTAACTGCGTTAAAGCTGTCAAAACGGTGAGCGGCTGCTAGTGTGGTCATTGTTACGAAGCCACACCCATTAAATTCAGAACAAGAAAGTTGTCCACCTCCGACACCGCTGTCCGGTGTCGGCTAGCGCGGATCTCAGATAATCTAGCCCTTAGCTGCCAACAAACGCCCAGATAACACAAAAGTGTCCATATACTTTACAATGTTATTCTGACACAATATGGCAATGTTATGATATATAATTATGGTGTAGTTCGATTAATTACATTTGTTGTCTTGTTGTCTTTTAAAGGAAAAAACCTGCACACATGAAGAAGTATTCCTTACCCAAAGGTATTCTTGCACATTGCTCACTGTTGTTTTACTCTTACTACTATTCCAGGACCTCTCTGAGAGTGTTTTTGTCTCTGTCTGTCCAGTAGCCTCTCAGAGCTTCCAGGGGAAGAGCCCCCCCTGCTCCGACTCTGAGCTTATCTCCTACCCTCTAGAGCGGGGTGTCCATGACGCTTTACCCAACCCTCCTCTCAATGGTAAGAATGCACAAACAACCCAGCCTTTTCAACAGAGCATGCCAGTGAGGCTGGGTATATAACCTCAAGCTTTTCTTCATGATATGTATTACTCTGACCTTTCCTCTATCAGCTGCATGCCTGACCCTGAATTAGCTCTAGAATTGTTCTCATCTATTTTTATCTCTCTGGCAGACAAACACTCTCCCTTTAAATGCCTTAGAGTAAAAAATAGAACAAATCATTGGTTCTCTATAGAACTTTCAGATCTTGTTATGATGATAAATCAGGGGCCAAGGCTAGAAAAACGGACTGTAGCTGATCGGTAGCTTTTCAAGGCAATTGAGAAATTGATGCAATTCCTCAATCGAGAAAGCTAAATCTAGGTACTTTCTAAGTTCTCAAATCAAATCAAATCAAATTGTATTTGCCACATGCGCCGAATACAACAGGTGTAGACATTACAGTGAAATGCTTACTTACAAGCCCATAACCAACAATGCAGTTTAAGAAAAAAATAGCAAATAATTAAAGAGCAGCAGTAAAATAAAATAACAGTAGGGAGGTTATATACAGGGGGTACCGGTACAGAGTCAATGTGCGGGGGCACCGGTTAGTCGAGGTAATTGAGGTAATATGTACATGTGGGTAGAGTTAAAGTGACTATGTATAGATAATAAACAGAGTAGCAGCAGCGTAAAAGAGGGGGTTGGGTTGGGGTGGGGGGGCAATGCAAATAGTCCGGATAGCCATGATTAGCTGTTCAGGAGTCTTATGGTTTAGGGGTAGAAGCTGTTAAGAATCCTTTTGGACCTAGACTTTGTGCTCCGGTACTGCTTGCCATGCGGTAGCAGAAAGAACAGTCTATGACTAGGGTGGCTGGAGTCTTTGATAATTTGTAGGGCCTTCCTCTGACACCGCCTGGTATAGAGGTCCTGGATGGCAGGAAGCTTGGCCCCAGTGATGTACTGGGCCGTACGCACTACCCTCTGTAGTGCCTTGCGGTCGGAAGCCGAGCAGTTGCCATACCAGGCGGTGATGCAACCAGTCAGGATGCTCTCAATGGTGCAGCTGTATAACTTTTTGAGGATCTGAGGACCCATGCCAAATCGTTTCAGTCTCCTGAGGGGGAATAGGCTTTGTCGTGCCCTCTTCACGACTGTCTTGGTGTGTTTGGATCATGATAGTTTTTTGGTGATGTGGACACCAAGGAACTTGAAGCTCTCAACCTGTTCCACTACAGCCACGTCGATGAGAATGGGGGCGTGCTCAGTCCTCTTCTTTTTCCCGTAGTCCACAATCATCTCCTTTGTCTTCAGCACGTTGAGGGAGAGGTTGTTATTCTGGCACCACACGGCCAGGTCTCTGACCTCCTCCCTATAGGCTGTCTCATCATTGTCGGTGATCAGGCCTACCACTGTTGTGTCGTCAGCAAACTTAATGATGGTGTTGGAGTCGTGCCTGGCCATGCAGTCATGGTTGAACAGGGAGTACAGGAGGGGACTGAGCACGCACCCCTGAGGGGCCCCCTAGTTGAAGATCAGCGTGGCAGATGTGTTGTTACCTACCCTTACCACCTGGGGGCGGCCCGTCAGGAAGACCAGGATCCAATTGCAGAGGGAGGTGTTTAGTCCCAGGGTCCTTAGCTTAGTGATGAGCTTTCAGGGCACTATGGCGCTGAGCTGTAGTCAATGAATAGCATTCTCATATAGGTGTTCCTCTTGTCCAGGTGGGAAAGGGCAGTGTGGAGTGCAATAGAGATTGCATCATCTGTGGATCTGTTGGGTCGGTATGCAAATTGGAGTGGGTCTAGGGTTTCAGGGATAATGGTGTTGATGTGAGCCATGACCAGCCTTTCAAAGCACTTCATGGCTACAGACGTGAGTGCTAAAGGTCGATAGTCATTTAGGCAGGTTATCTTAGTGTTCTTAGGCACAGGGAATATGGTGGTCTACTTGAAACATGTTGGTATTACAGACTCAGTCAGGGACATGTTGAAAATGTTAGTGAAGACACTTGCCAGATGGTCAGCGCATGCTCGGAGTACACGTCCTGGTAATCCGTCTGGATCTGCTGCCTTGGGAATGTTGACCTGTTTAAAGGTCTTACTCACATCGGCTACAGAGAGCTTGATCACATAGTCATCTGGAACAGCTGATGCTCTCATGCATGCTTCAGTGTTGCTTACCTCAAAGCGATCATAGAAGTGATTTAGCTCGTCTGGTGGGCTTGTGTCACTGGGCATCTCGTGGCTGTGCTTCCCTTTGTAGTCTGTAATAGTTTTCAAGCCCTGCCACACCGACGAGCGTCAGAGCCGGTATAGTACAATTCAATCTTAGTCCTGTATTGACTCTTTGCCTGTTTGATGGCTCGTCAGAGGGCATAGCGGGATTTCTTATAAGTGTCCGGGTTAGAGTCCCGCTCTTTGAAGGCGGCAGCTCTACCCTTTAGCTCAGTGCGGATGTTGCCTGTGGGGACGTCGTCATCGATGCACTTATTGATGAAGCCAATGACTGATGTGGTGTACTCCTCAATGCTATCGGAAGAATACCGGAACATATTCCAGTCTGTGCTAGCAAAACAGTCCTGTAGCTTAGCATCTGTGTCAGAGTCACTTATTAACCGAGTCACTGGTGCTTCCTGCTTTAGTTTTTGCTTATAAGCAGGAATCAAGAGGATCGAGTTATGGTCAGATTTGCCAAATGGAGGGCGAGGGAGAGCTTTGTACACGTCTCTGTGTGTGGAGTAAAGGTGGTCTAGAGTTTTTTTCCCTCTGGTTGCACATTTAACATGCCGGTAGAAATGAGGTAGAACGGTTAATGCACTGAAGCGTGGAAATTCCTCTCCTTCCCTGCCTAAGCAAGTTGTGTCAGCATTTTATCTCAGCAGGCTTTTTATTTGAACAAAATGGTGGTTTAATTGACCCTAGTCAGCCAGTTTACTGCCTGCCCCTCTCCCAGCCTCTAGTTGGCTCGAAGGAAGTACCGTCAACTTCTAGTGAATCTTCAATCAGCCTTTGTTGAACTGAAATTGGAAATTAATTCTGGTAAAACCAAGTATATATTATTTTACAAATCATGTAAAAAAAAAAACTTATGATTTATGCATACGTCCTTTGGATGGTGCCCTTGTTTATGGTGTCCCCATTTATAAATATCTGGGTATCTGGATTGATGAAAAGCTATCTTTCAAAAAGGATGTTGATGAGTTAGTTAAGAAATTAAGAATTCAAAATAGGCTTCTTCTATAGGAGCAGGTCCTTTCGTTAGATAGCAGAAAACAAATAATTCAGTCAACATTCATTCCGGTTATTGACTATGGCAGCTGCCACTGTATTAAAGCCTTTGGACGCATGTTATTATCATAGCGCATTGTGCTTTAATACGGGCGATAGGTTTCAGTACACAAAGTCTCATAGATCGATGCATTGCACTCTTTTAGTCTATAAAGCCCTCTTTGTTAAACTTCCGCCATACCTTACCCCATTGTTAACCTTCAGACACATAAATTACCAGACCCAGACTCAGGGATGGCCAACCCTGGAGATCCCTTCAATCTCCACCGAGTTAGGTAAATCTGCTTTTAGTTTTTTTGCGTGTGGAATGATCTCCAAAAGTCCTTAAAGTCCTTAAAGTCGTTAAATGTTAGAGGGCCTTTTTACTGACGAATGTGTGTGTTGCATATGATTGTGTTTTGCTTTTCGTGTTTTGTGTCTGCTTTTAATGTATTGTGTAATTGATGTGTATATACAGTTGAAGTCGGAAGTTTACATACACTTAGGTTGGAGTCATTAAAACTTATTTTTCAAACACTCCACAGATTTCTTGGTTAACAAACTATAGTTTTGGCAAGTCGGTTAGGACATCTACTTTGTGCTTGACACATTTCATTTTTCCAACAATTGTTTACAGAGATTATTTCTCTTATAATTCACTGTATCACAATTCCAGTGGGTCAGAAGTTTACATACACTAAGTTGACTGTGCCTTTAAACAGCTTGGAAAATTCCAGAAAATGATGTCATGGCTTTAGAAGCTTCTGATAGGCTAATTGACATCATTTGAGTCAATTGGAGGTGTACCTGTGGATGTATTTCAAGGCCTGCCTTCAAACTTAGTGCCTCTTTGCTTGACATCTTGGGAAAATCAAAAGAAATCAGCCAAGACCTCAGAAAAAAAATGTTAGACCTCCACAAGTCTGGTTCATCCTTGGGAGCAATTTCCAAACGCCTGAAGGTACCACGTTCATCTGTACAAACAATAGTACGCAAGTATAAACACCATGGGACCACGCAGCCATCATACCGCTCAGGAAGGAGACGCATTCTGTCTCCTAGAGATGAACGTACTTTGGTGCGAAAAGTGCAAATAAATCCCAGAACAACAGCAAAGGACCTTGTGAAGATACTGGAGGAAACAGGTACAAAAGTATCTATATCCACAGTCAAACGAGTCCTATATCGACATAACCTGAAAGGCCGCTCAGTAAGGAAGAAGCCACTGCTCCAAAACCGCCATAAAAAAGCCACACTACGGTTTGCAACTGCACATGAAGACAAAGACTGTACTTTTTGGAGAAATGTCCTCTGGTCTGATGAAACAAAAATAGAACTGTTTGGACATAATGACCATCGTTATGTTTGGAGGAAAAAGGGGGACGCTTGCAAGCCGAAGAACACCATCCCAACCGTGAAGCACGGGGGTGGCAGCATCATGCTGTGGGGTTGCTTTGCTGCAGGAGGGACTGGTGCACTTCACAAAATAGATGGCATGAGGAAGGAAAATTATGTGGATATATTGAAGCAACATCTCAAGACATCAGTCAGGAAGTTAAAGCTTGGTCGCAAATGGGTCTTCCAAATGGACAATGACCCCAAGCATACTTCCAAAGTTGTGGCAAAATGGCTTAAGGACAACAAAGTCAAGGTATTGGAGTGGCCATCACAAAGCCCTGACCTCAATCCTATAGAAAATGTGTGGGCAGAACTGAAAAAGTGTGTGCGAGCAAGGAGGCCTTCAAACCTGAATCAGTTACACCAGCTCTGTCAGGAGGAATGGGCCACAATTCACCCAACTTATTGTGGGAAGCTTGTGGAAGGCTATCTGAAACGTTTGACCCAAGTTAAACAATTTAAAGGCAATACTACCAAATAGTAATTGAGTGTATGTAAACTTCTGACCCACTGGGAATGAGATGAAATAAATAAAAGCTTAAATAAATCATTCTCTCTACTATTATTCTGACATTTCACATTCTTAAAATAAAGTGGTGATCCTAACTGACCTAAGAAAGGGAATTTTTACTAGGATTAAATGTCAGGAATTGTGAGTGCCAAATGTATTTGGCTAAGGTGTATGTAAACTTCCGACTTCAACTGTAGATATGTATAGTGTAATTGTTGTTTATTGATGTGTTCATTCAGGGCTCATCTGCGAAAGACAGTAGTCTCACTATGACTCCCTGCTTAAATAAAGGTTAAATAAAATAGAAAATAGAAAGGAGACATGCAGTTGTCAGATGTTATCTTTTGCTATTTGCCAGATGATGTATTCACTGTAGACCAGGAGCCAGAGAGATAGGAGTTCCTTCTTCATAATCCTGAAATGAGAGAACCATGTCAAGCCTAGCCTAGTCCCATGTCTGTTTGTGCAGTAAGCCAACTCCTACGCTATACAGCACAAACAGATCCGGTACCAGGCTATCCTGCCCGGGCAACAGGATAACACATACACATCTCCCCCCGCTTACAATTGCTAGGCCAATGAATATTCACGTGGACTCATCTCATTGCTGTTCTGGACTGTTTCAATATTACTCAACATGTCAATTTTCCCACTCACATCAAGGGACACATATTTGATCTCGTCTGCTCTGTTGGCCTCAACCTAACTCATATTTCCCCTTCACAGTTCCCACTGTTTGACCACAAGATCCTTAATTTCTCTCTTCCCTCATACACACCCCACAACACTGACAAAAGCCTCATCTCCTTCTGCAACATCAAAACTGTTAACCCCCTCCAACTCTCTGATGCCATCTGTTCTGCCCTGCCCCTTGACCACGCCCCTAACTCACCTGATGAACTAGCTGCCTAATTCAACACTGCTCTATCCGCCTCCCTCAACTCTCTGGCCCCTCCTTCCCCTCCTCGCCCCCTGGGTTTACCCCTAAACTCCGCGCCCTGAAGCAAACTGGCCGCCTGGAGTGCCTGAGCAGGAAGTCTGGGCTCACTGTCCACACTAAAGCCTACAAACTCCCCCTCTCCACCTCCAGAGATGCCCTCAGTGCTGCCAGGTCCGCCTACTTCTCCAACATCATCAACAGCTCCAATAAGAACTCCCGGACTCTGTTCTCCACTGTCAGCAAACTACTTCAGCCCCGTGACGACACCTTCTCTACTCCCTCCACTGAACTCTGCAACTCCTTCCTTCAGTTTTGCAAGGACAAGATCACCAAAATAAACTCATCACTGACTGATCAATCTCCCTCAGCCGCCCCTACCCCTGTCAACCTCCCAACTGTCACCCCTGAAACCCGGTTCTCCGAATTCACCCCCCATTGACTCTCCCTATATCTCAAAACTCATCATGTTATCCAAGACTACAACCTGCTCCCTGGATCCCCTCCCCACGGTTCACATCAAAGCCTGCCTGCCTGCTCTCTGTCCATATATCACACACATCGTCTACCTCTCCCTCGTCCACGGAACTGTCCTCTCCATCTACAAAACCCCCATCTTAAAAAAGCCCCAACTGGACACCACCATTCTCAATAACTTCCGGCCCATTTCCAACCTCCCTTCAGGGCCTAAAATTAACACCCGCCACCTGCCAAATGCATTGGTGGGTAAGAGGTTTATTTCACCAGCCACGTTGGCGGGTGGTCAGGGTTCAACAGTGCGAGCATTTCACTCGCATTTGTGTATAAAAATAGTAAAGTTTGATCACATTTAAAGTAAAATAAATGCTGCAGTATCTGTTTTCAAAGTATTTCTGCCATTTTGTTTCATAGCTGGTAAATTAATCGCACAAGGTCAAAGAACTGGCTGGGGGCTGTGCACACGTGAAAAGCTGGTTTAATTTTTTGAAACGAAAGTCTACTGAAGTGAGACTTTGTCCTTGTGTTTACATTTTAGTCATTTAGCAGATGCTCTTATCCAGAGCGACTTACAGTTAGTGAATGCATACATGTTTTTTTTTTGTTTTTTGTTTTTATACTGGCCCCCCGTGGGAAACGAACCCATATCCCTGCCGGCCAAACCCTCCCCTACCTTGGACCAATTGTGCGCCGCCCATGGGTCTCCCGGTTGCGGCCAGCTGCGACAGAGCCTGGACTCGAACCAGGATCTCTAGTGGCACAGCTAGCACTGCGATGCAGTGCCTTAGACCACTGTGCCACTCGGGAGTCATCTTGGCTATTTACATTGTTTTGTTCACAAGTTAGGTTGTTTTTGTATGTTTGAGTTTCAACTGTTAGGGAAGAGAAGACAACGCTTCTACTAGTCAGACTCAATCTCACAGTCACAAACATGACTGGAGTCCGCTACCATGTAACCTCCCGCCCTTAAAGGGGCAGGGGAAAAATGATGTCTCATCTGTGGTATTTGGTTAAAAGACTTGGGTCACAAAAAATGAAATTAAACAATATACCACATTATTTCTTACTAGTAATACATTTATTGTTTTAGAAACAATACAAAGCATGCTCATCCATTTTTTTGTGTTTTGTCAGTGTAATTTTAGCAAAAGAAATCATATTTTGGGTGGTAAAAAATCTGAGTGGCTGGTATATTTTTTTATCTACCTACCACAGTGGCTGGTGGACCAAAAAGTTAATTTTATGCCCTGCTCCCCTTCCTTGCCAAGACTCTGGAATGGACTGCTGCCTCCCAATTACAAACCCACCTGCTAATCGAGCCCTTCCAGTCTGGTTTCCGCCACCTCCGCAGTACTGAATCTGCACTCCTCAAAGTTGTCAATGACCTCCTCACCTCTGCTGATGCTGGTGCCCTCAACATCCTGATTCTTCTTGACCTAAGTGCCGCTTTTGACACAGTGAGCCATCAGATCCTCCTCACCAGGCTTCAGGGTCTGGGTGTTGAGGGCACCGCACTCATGGCTACAATCATACCTCACAAACCGGATCCTCAATGGCCACACCTCAGACTCAGCTGAAGTTAAAGAGGGTGTCCTCCAGGGCTCTGTGCTGGGCCCCTTACTCTTCATCATCTACATCCTCCCTCTTGGTCAGATCCTCCGTCACTTCAACCTTGACTTCCACTGCTATGCCGACGCCACCCAGATCTACCTCAGCACCAAATCCTTCCTCAACCCACATCTGACCCACATTGAATCCTGCCTCTCTGCAATAAAAACATGGATGCAACAAAACTTCCTCAAGTTCAACAGTGATAAAACGGATCTCCTCATCATAGGCACCAAATCCACCCTCACCAAAGCTGGCAACATCCCCATTGATGACACCACTGTCTCTCCCTCCCCCCACGCATGTAACCTTGGCGTCATCCTGGACTCCATCCTCTTCCACCTCCGCAACATTGCCAAAGTCAAGTCCTCCCTCTCCCGTCCTGCCGCTGAAACCCTCATACATGCATTCATCTCCTCCCGTCTTGACTATTGCAACTCACTACTCTCCGGCATCAACTCAAGCTCCCTCCTTAAGCTCCAAATGGTTCAAAACACTGCAGCCGTTCATCACATCCCCCCCTGTCCTCCATGAGCTCCACTGGCTCCCTGTCTCCCAACACATTGATTACAAGATCCTCCTTCTGACCTACAATGCCCTCCACCACCTTACCTCTCAGACCTTCTTCTCCTCTACCAGATTAAGATCGCTTTATTGATCAATTGCACACAAGGTCCAACCGAAATTTGACTTCCGCTTTTAACCCAACCCCTCCAAAAGACACACATACATAAACAGGTTTTGGAGAGGTGCAGGGGGCTGCCATGTGAGCTGTCATAGTGGGGGGTTAAGTGCCTTGCTCAAGGGCACAAGGGCCTCTAGGATTTGATACCAGCAACCCTTTGGTTGCCAGCTCACTTCCCACCAGATTTGTCCGATTAGACCCGGGATTCGAACCGGCAACCCTCCGATTGCTGGCTCGCCTCTAACCACTAGTCCACCTGCCGCACCAACCTACAAGCTCACTCCGTTCCACCACAGCAGGCCACCTTGACATCCCCAGGTCCAAGCTCCAGAGCTTTGGCGACACGGCCTTCTCGAGGGTTGCTCCTAGGCTCTGGAACTCCCTCCCTCCAGCCATCCGTGACTCTGAGTCCATCACCATCTTTCAGTCCCACCTCCAAACTCCTCTGCTCACTCCCACTCTCTTTATTTCTCTCACTCTCACTCTCATACACTCTCACTCTCACACACTCACACACTCACACTCACACTCATGTCCTCTCACTTGGCTGGCCAGTTTGCAGAGCTCAGACCAGACTTGACAAGCAAACAGCTTTCTCCATGGGCTGCCCATTCTTCCCCTTGGCTTGGTCCGTCTCCCAGTTGCAGTATAAACATTCCTTTCTTTAGTCGGCGGAGCCCGCTCTGAAAGAGACCATTTCATTGGAGCTGGATAAAGGGCACTCATGCCAGGGAAGCACAGCCTCCCCCTCCCTCCCACAGATGAGGGGGCCCTACTCTGAGAAGGCCAGTGATAAACAGGACAGAGGGTCAGTCGCTAAGACAATTATAGGCCTCTCTAATTAAAATAGCTCCCCCTTGGAGGTTGGGTGAGGGATAAGGGTCTGAGGCCTCCCCTGTCAGCCCTCATCCCAGTCACTAGAGAGAAGCCATTGTTGGTGGCCACAGAGCTCTTGTATGGGCTCAACAATGCCCATGATATGAGCTCTACTGAGTATGAAGGAGGCCGTTTCAAGACATGGCTGGAGAGAGTACAGAGCAACACTTGAATTCGATTGTATTTTTCCCTTAATTTGAAGGGGCTTGTACAGTACTAGGGTATGTTGTCATGACAAGTCCGTAACCCCCGTTACCCTTTCTGAAATTAAGGATGTTACCTTTAAACTGTACTTCAGCTATATGTTTCTGGTGCTTCATAGAACTAAAAATAATATGTGAGCTCTATGACACATTAATGTTTGTTTCTGCTTGCCTAGACTATGCAGAGCCAGATGTGGTGGCTGGGGGACAGAAGCTTGGCTCCACCTTCCGGCCCACAGTGGAGGTGGGCTACACCGTCCCCTTCACTTTCAACCACTATGACACACCTGGAAAGCTCCTAGAGCACACTGAGCCCCTGCCGCTGGAGTCCGAGTATGCCACCCCATTCAGTGACCAGCCCCCAGATCCCAATCTGGCAACTCCACAGGGGACACTACACAACAACAAACATGTGCTGCCTATGGTTTCTACAAGGACAAGTACCACAATAACCCAGGCCCAGTATGACTGCCCCTCTCACAGAGAGTTGCCCAATGGCTATTGCACTACGTCTCTCCATGCCAATGGCCCATGCCCGGCCAGTGTGGTCTACACTGAGCCTGAGCCCTTATCTTCTAACTCCCTACTACAGCACACATATGAGGAGCCTTTCTGAATACAGCAAGCTCAACCAGGGACGGAACAGACTTAGGTCTCTATTCAACCTGTATCGCGGAAGCGTTACATATTGCGCACTATAAATGTAAAGGTAATTTCCGATTGAGTCGACACGTGCAGCGTTTACTGTGAATGCAGTCTCCGCTAACACAGGAACATTGCCTTTAAATTTAAATCACGCTGTATCTCTGAATTTCCGCGATACGGATTGAATAGAGCCCAACCTGGTACACACAGCCTTACTCTTTTCATTGGCTGTATGTACCAGGTTGCACTTGGTGGCACCATTGGCTGCTCTCTGCTTTGCACTCTCACCCCTTGGGCCACCCTAATGGGCAAAGCAGGGACCATTCATGACCAGTACCGTCCAACATTGATGACCTGTTATTTACAAGAAAATGTGTCTAATGGCTTAGCATTGGATGGCTATAGGCTATATATTGATTCCAATTAACTAATATATTTCGTAAATAAAACGGCACAAAAAGTAAAATTACAAATCAAAGTTGAACATATTTGAAAGCTGAAATGTTCATTGAAGTGTCATATGAACTTGTTATACAGTTTAAATATTTGTCTTACGGGAGCTGTACAAAAAAAAGCATGTATTGGAAGCAGCAAAATAACTGATTACAGTGTATTATCTTGTATCAAGTTGTGACACCATTTGACTCATCTGTTTAGATAATGCTTACTATTTTTCATTTTTTACTGTGATATTTTTGTAAAGAATTTTCATGAGAACTTCATGTTCACAGAGTGAACTGAATGACACTGAAATGTGAATATTTTTGTACTGGAAAAATAAATACAGTGAAGAATATATTTATTTCTATTATATTTAACACTATTTTATCTGGGGCTCAAATGTTTGTGTACAGATATAAAAGTGTGTGTTGTGGTTGAAAAAAACAGACACACAAATGTGCTTTCTTGACATCTTGTGGTAAAGAAAATGATGTGTGAAGAAAAGTAAGACCAATCATTTTTATTAGGTATTAAATTACATGTTATGCCCAAATGTACCCATACACAATCACATTGACCAGATGTGGGGTTATTGACTAGGCTACACGTGATATCAGTTTTTTTGGGGTTGCGTTCATATTGTGGAACATTTCCCTCATCAGACACTGGGGGCAGGAGTACGTCCATTTGGGTGGACCGGAAATACAGTTATTCAAAACGGAAGATCAGAAAGAAACCAAGACTTTCTAGCCAGAGACGGGTTTGTGTTGTGTGGACTTAAATTAGCTAGTACAAAACATGGGGAGATAGTGTTTGTTTTGTCGGGTAAGTATTTAAAAAAAAATATATATATATATATATATATTTGGGAGATTACATGTACATTTTGCCAGCTCGCTTGCACAGCATAATGATTATGGGAAGATCTCAATTGTAATCCTCGCGTCCTCTCTCCTACTCAAAAACCCATTGGATGAGAAAGCCTGAGGTCCCGCCCTTCTGACCCTCTCCTCCAATGGGTTTTTGAGAAGGAGGCAAAGCGAGGACGTAAACAATTGAGATTCTTCCCATGTTGTTGTGTTAGCATGTATCTAGCTGGCTAAAAACTAGCTAGCAAGACGGCTAAGGTTAAGCTAGCTGCATTTATGGCTTGCCATTCAAATGTAACTTTCAAGTGAAATATAAAGGTATTTATTTGCTATATGTAGATACGCTTGCTTGGACCATTCCATTGAAAATGTGACCGTTGTGTCTTCAAGCTGAATCTTTGATAAATCTGTAACGTTGGCCAGCTAACTAACGTTACCTAGCTAAACCATGTTAGCCTGCTAACTAACTGATGTTAACTGAAATTAGCTGTGGTTGTGATACATTTGTTACTAGTTTTTCAACATGATCACGGATTCCTCCAGTTAAATTCAACGCTTGTCTCATAATCAATTTTTATCCAGAGTCGGCCGGCTAGCTAGTCAACAAACATAGCCAGCTAGCTAGCTGTCACTTGAGAGTTGATATGCCCATATGCAATAATGTAACACTGACAGACGGTGTAATGTTATTGGTTTGCCAGCTGCAATGTGTGATATTTGTTTTTTAACTAGCCAGTAAATATCCATATAAATATCATGCCAGGTTTTGTAACCTAGATTTTAGTTAGTTAGTCTGACATTTAAATAGCTAACTACCTAGATGTCATGTCATGATAAGATCTGTTGACATTTTTCCCAAATTATGTTTTCTCTTTAGTTTTTCCAGGTTTCTGTTTTTCCAAGGTTTTACAGGGTTTCAAGCTAAAAAATCACACTTTTAATATTGTAGTCCACAACAATGCTTAAGCTACACCAGGAGACCACTTTTGAGGTCTGGGGAAAAATAGAAGAAATATGGGTTTTGGGGTGTAGTTATCCTTTAATGCAAGTGTGCACCAGCAAGAGACCCTTGTTTGGTTGGCTATGTTTCTGTAGCGCTCATGTGATTGCATTGATGCAAATAATCATGATATCATTCTGCGAGGCAGGCATAGGCTATTTTGTAGTTAACATTTTAATTGAGAAGGTTTTTGAGAAAGCCTTTCCATCTCTACCAGAAGAAGGGTAACAGCTACACAAAGTGTAGACATACGCCAGCACCGCACACACACAGACAGGGGCATTCCTGTGCCGTTTCCAAAAGTTGCAGGAAAATACAAATCACTGATGCATGTTGCTCATGTCTTATGATTAACTTGGGCAAATTATTGCATTTTCTAATATGTTCCATACATTTAGTACATTCCTACTAAGTTCAATACATTCTGTGATTCCGTCCACGTTCTCCGCAACGCAGATTTTATAGGGACCTAGTCATATCCCATGTTCCAGTCTACCATCACCCTGGCATTCTGTGTGCTTGTTGATTGAGGGCACAAGGAGCTTTTTTCTCTCACACTTTTCCCTTCTGATTCCAGTTTCACGGACCTGGTCCTTACGACGACAGTGCAGACCCAGAGAGAGGCCCCACCATCTGACATCCTAGGTCTGGCAGATTATGACCCAGTACCAACCACAGTCCAACCGCTCCAACTTCTTCACCGTGAAAACAGAGGCCTCCTCAACACCACCTCTCGCCACCAGCATGGCCAATAGCAGCGCCGCCGCCCCTGGGAAGGTGATGGGCACACCTGGCCCTGCCGGCAGAATCAGCCCAGAAGGAAGTCAGGTGAGTCCTCCTGTCCATCTCCTCATCACCAACCTGGGTCATGTTGGAAAAAGTTTTGTGACAGAAAATGAATGTTTCTTATTAGACAGGAAGGCCCTCCCTGTTTCAGTTCGGATTCTTCCATTTGGTGGTTAATAAACACGACCCTGGTATACTCCAGCTGGGTGATGTTTTTCAATAGAATTGTTCACAACAGAAATCAAAGAATTAACTAAAACTGTAAGGTCCAGTTCCTACTTGGCTTTGCATACATTGACACCAATCCTTCAGTTTCATGTGCTGGTTGGTTCTGTCAAAACATGTTTTCTATGTTCATCTCCCTAGCCAGATGCCAAGTTTCAGGGTGTACAATGAGTATATAGCCTCTCTGCTTGACTGCACCGGCCTGCTTCTAGTGCACCATTGACTATGACTAACAACCTGTTTGCCCTCCACTCAGGTGTTGAGTAAAAAGAAGCTGCAGGACCTAGTAAGAGAGATTGACCCCAATGAGCAGCTCGATGAGGATGTGGAGGAGGTATGTTTCCTAGTTCAGAAGTGTCTTTCACTGAAGCTTGCAAAAAACCCACAATGCAAGACTAGTGCATGCAATGTTTTGGAGCCTCACCACTTGTGACCTGAGGTCCCCCATCTGTCTTCCTCTCAGATGCTGCTGCAGATTGCAGATGACTTCATTGACAGTGTGGTGACGGCTGCCTGTCAGCTGGCCCGCCATCGCAAGTCCAACACCTTAGAAGTGAAGGACGTCCAGCTACACCTGGGTGAGTAAAAGTACAGGCTGATACTGGCTGATGGTTGGAGCAGCAGCCGCTGCAGTCAGGGCTCTACACTGACCTTTTTTACAAGGAGCATGTGTGCGCATAAGTTGAAAAATGTTGGCGCACACAAAGAAATTTAGGAGCACAATAGTAGAGGTAATAAAGGTAGAATCCTTAATTTTTCTAGGTCACTGGTGCTTCTAAATAGAAATTCCAGGTCGCACAGCGAAATATTTTGGTGCATATGCGAGTAAAGTGGTCGCACTGTAGAGCCCTGTGTTTGTCTCCATTACTGGAATGATTAATTTACTATGGCAAAAATGAACAGCGTCTGAGAGCCTTGGGTGTAGCAGCTTAGAGTTTTAAAGATATGTATATAAAAAGGTGGATGAAGTTAATGGACCATTTCCTGTTGAGTGTATTTTCTCTTTGATTTTTATTCTCACTCCCTGTGTTGTCTGCCACTCCTCAACAGAGCGCCAATGGAACATGTGGATTCCTGGCTATGGTTCAGATGAGATTCGGCCATATAAGAAGGCTTGTACCACAGAGGCCCACAAACAGGTTTGTTTGTCACTCTTTCTTCTTGATCACACCCAGGGTTCACATTTATACTAATGAATTGTGCTTTCAATAATTGAAATGTACAGTGTCGTGAAAAAGTATTTTCCCGCTTTCTGAATTTCTTTATTTTTGCATATTTTTGATACTGAATGTTATCAGATCTTCAACCAAAATCTAATATTAGATAAAGGGAACCTGAGTTTACAAATAACAAAAAAATATATACTTATTTTATTTATTTAATGAACAAAGTTATGCAACACCCAATGCCCCTGTGTGAAAAAGTAATTGCCCCGTTACACTCAATAACTGGTTGTGCCACCTTTAGCTGCAATGACTGCAACCAAATCTCATCTAAAAGGTTTACTCAAGTTTGCCAAAAAGCACCTGGAAGCACCTGGAAGATCATCAAGACTCTTGGAAGGATGATAATGGACAGATGAGTCAAAAGTTAAACTTTTGGATGACATGGGTCCCATTATGCCTGGTGAAAACCAAACACTGCATTCCACAGTAAGAACCTGTCAAGCATGGTGGTGGGTGGTAGTGTGATAGTTTCAGGATGCTTTGCTGCCTTGGGACCTGGACGACTTGCCTTAATAGAAGGAACCATGAATTCTGCTCTGTATCAGATAATTCTACTGGAGAATGTCAGGCCCTCCGTCTTTGAGCTGAAGCTGAAGCGCAGCTGAGTCATGCAGCAAGACAATGATCAAAAACACACAATCAAGTCTACATGTAAATGGTTAAAAAGCAACACATTTGAAGTTTTGGAATGGCCTAGTCAAAGTCCAGACCTAATCCCAATTGAGATGTTTTGGCAGGACTTGAAATTAGCAGTTCATACTTGAAAACCCACAAATGTTGCTGAGTTAAAGCAGTTCTGCATGGAAGAGTGGGCCAAAATTCCTCCACAGCAATGTGAGACTGATCAACAACTACAGGAAGCATTTGGTTGCAGCTGGAGGTGGCACAACCAGTTAATGAGTGTAAGGGGGCAATTACTTTTTCACACAGGGGCATTGGGTGTTGCATAACTTTGTTTATGAAATAAATATGTAATTGTTTTGCTGTTTGTTCACTCAGGTTCCCTTTGTCTAATACTACGTTTTTGTTGAAGATATGATAACATTCAGTATCAAAAATATGCAAAAGTAGAGAAAATTAGAAAGGGGGCAAATACTTTCACAGCACTGTACATGTATTATATAATTATTATTTTTGGTGTATTGTGTTTGTTTAGGAAGTATTGAAAATAATTTCAATAATGCAATATGCGATTGTGATATGTGGTTGTCTTACCTACCTTAGTTGAATGCACTGACGGTAAGGCGCTCTGAATAAGAATGTCTACTAAATCAGTCCAAAAATCGAATCAAACTTTATTTGTCACATGCGCCGAATACAACAGGTGTTCACCTTACCGTGAAATGCTTACTTACAAGCCCTTAACTGTGTACTGTTGGGGGTACTTGAGGACCAGGGTTGGGAAACACTGTACTAAATGACCTAAATGCAATAGTGATTGAGCATGTTTTTCATTTGTCTCATCCAGAGAATGGCATTGATCCGCAAAACAACCAAAAAGTAGCAAGACCTGGAACCAGCCTCGCACAAACCCTCTGAAGATAATGAAAGTGTGGGTTTTGCATCAGGCTATCGAAAACTGTGTATATTTCTAATAATGGGGGACATTCTTTCACCCACGTCTTCATCTCCCCCAGGTTCTGTGTGTGATTTGTCAGTGCCATCATCACACAAGTATTTTGATCTACTTTTCACCACAGACTGGCCAAAATCAAACACTCTTCATTCTGTGGAAATGTACACTCAGGTATAGAGTGTTGTTTTGGGACAGTGTTTTGTTTTTGGAATTATCTATTCAACTTTACGTTTTCGTTCAAGGGGTAACCACCAAACACATACACTTTCAAAATGGGGGTGGCTACCAGACTCTTTCCCACTTTTTTCCCTTTCTTTTGTCTGGCATGCGTTTGCTGTTGTGTGTTTAGTTTTTGTGTTTAGTTGTTGTCACATAAACAAACCCCTTTCATCGAACATCAGAAATGTACACCATTTGCATTTAGTTCGTTTCCAGAATACTGTCATGGCACTATGTTTTTGTGTGCTGTAGGGATCTGATGTCATCTCCATAGTTCATTAGAAAATTACCCAGGACATTGTTTTTCATAAGATGTCACCAATTAACAACAAATGACTGATTATTATTCCAAAACAATAAGGATGTGAAATATGGCTTGTATCGCCAGACTGCAGTGAGATGGCGTTGGGTAATGGTCCTTATTTGGGGATGTGTGGGGAAGCAGTAACATTTGTTTTACTTTATATGGCAGTGTTTTAGTTTATTTTTAATCCATAAATAAAACAAGATTCATATTTCACTTGGCATTTGATTTGTGTGTTTATTTCACTGTTCAGTCATGTTCTTTCTCATTTGTTGGAACCTTGAGTTTTTCTGAGTTCACTTTCTACATGAATGGATTACATCAGTATATCACTATTCAGGGTAAAGAGATTTGACTAGATTTACATAACTAATAGCACTGGTATAGAGTTTCTTGATTCTGGAGAACAAACTAATGACCTCCTTCAGTAAGTCCCTGTACACGCACTTGCAAGTATTTTACATGTGTTATGTCTATTTCCATGTTCTGGCAAATTGGCACAATAGGTCATGCCCATCTTGTAACATTTCTTCTCATCCGGTGAAGAGCAAGTGAAGTTTTTCAAGGGCAGCATTGTGACTTGGCATACATGACAATACAGCACATTGACAAGTCCATATCACGAGTCCAAAGACCCAACTCAGGAACAGCACTTCTTTCTGTTGTTGGGTCTATTGATCCTGGGCTTCTGTAGCTTTACTAGTGAAGCATGTGGAGCCAAGCACTTCACCCCGTCCCAGCCCTCTTGTAGCTGCACCTCCCCGCTCAACAGGCCCTGGTACACCCGGCGGGTCAGCAGTTCGAAGGCCTCCGTCACACACTGACCCGTCTTAGCCGACGCCTCGATGTAGGGCATCCCCAGCTGGCCTGCCAGTTTCTCTGCCTCGTTATGGCCCACCACCCGCTCTCCCTGGGCCACCCGGTCATTCTTGTGGCCCACAAGTACAAACAGCACAGTATGGGGCTTCACATGTTCACACACCTCTGCGTGCCACTCCTGCACATGCTCAAAGGAGGCGCGGTTAGTCAGGTCAAACACCAGCAGGCCCCCCACTGAGTTACGGTAGTAGGACCGAGTCACTGACCTGAGAGAAAATAAAAACAAATAATCAAAAAGTTAAAGGAATTGTGTAAATTGTTAAAAAAAATGGAATGAATTTATGGATGTGAATCAATGATCAGCAGATATGTTGTGATAATTACTATGAACTTATACACATTGGTAAATGTTAACCTACATTAGGCTAATGTTGACTATGTATGGAGGAACTTAGTTGACCTCTGTCTATTACATCTACAAAAGAGGATGTGGTATTCATTGAAGGGAGGTTTCACCAGAATAGGCATCATCTTTGAACAACCCCTAGTAGTTTTTCAGTAGAGGTAGTCAGACGCAGTGTAGACAGATCTGGACAGAGAAACCATTATTATTCCACTGTCTAAAATCATTGACAGGTGGCACCATTGACTGATTGCATCAATATGTGTCTTACAATAAATAAATACTGTATTATTTTGAAAGAATAGCTGTGAAATCGTTTTATTGCTAGCTTGAGTTACCTGGGGTGGCAGAGAGTTCCATTTAGTCATGGCTCTTTTTTATATTGTGTGTTTCCCGGCCTCTGTTCTGGACCTGGGGACTGTGAAGAGACCTCTGATTGCATGTCTTGTGTGATATCAATGAGTGTCCGAACTGTGACCAATAGTGACGCAATCATTATCTCCTCAACTTTGAGCCAGGAGAGATTGACATAATATAAAATAATATAATAATTTGCCATTTAGCAGACGCTTTTATCCAAAGCGACATACAGTCATGTGTGCATACATTTTTATGTATGGGTGGTCCCGGGGATCGAACCAACTACCCTGGCTTTACAAGCGCCATGCTCTACCAATTGAGCTACAGAGGAACATATACACTATATATACACTATATATGCAAAAGTATGTGGACACCCCTTCAAATTAGTGGATTCGGCTATTTCAGCCATACCTGTTGCTGACAGGTGTATAAAATCGAGCACACAGCCATGCAATCTCCATTGACAAACATTGGCAGTAGAATGGCCTTACTGAAGAGCTCAGTGACGTTCAACGTGGCACCGTCATAGGATGCCACCTTTCCAACAACTCAGTTCGTGAAATGTCTGCCCCGGTCAACTGTAAGTTCTGTTATTGTGAAGTGGAAACGTCTAGGAGCAATAACGGCTCAGCCGCTAAGCGGTAGGCCACACAAGCTCACAGAATGGGACCGCCAAGTGCTGAAGCGCGTAGAGCATAAAGATCGTCTGTCCTCGGTTGCAACACTCACTACCGAGTTCCAAACTACCTCTGGAAGCAACATTAGCACAATAACTTTTCATCGGGAGCTTCATGAAATGGGTTTCCATGGACGAGCAGCCGCACACAAGCCTAAGATCACCATACCCAATGCCAAGTGTCGGCTGGAGTGGTGTAAAGCCCGCCTCCATTGGACTCTGGAGCATTGGAAACGCATTCTCTGGAGTGATGAATCACACTTCACCATCTGGCAGTCTGACTGACATTTCTGGGTTTGGTGGATGCCAGGAGAACACTACCTGCCCCAATGCATAGTGCCAACTGTAAAGTTTGGTGGAGAAGGAATAATGTTCTGGGGCTGTTTTTCATGGTTCGGGCTAGGCCCCTTAGTTTCAGTGAAGGGACATCTTAACGCTACAGCATACATTCTAGACCATTCTGTGCTTCCGCTTCCAACTTTGTGGCAACAGTTTGGGGAAGGCCCTTTCCTGTTTCAGCATGACAATGCCCCGTGTACAAAGCGAGGTCCATACAGAAATGGTTTGTCGAGATCAGTGTGGAAGAACTTGAATGGCCTGCACAGAGCCCTGACCTCAACCCCATCGAAAAGCCTTTGGGATGAATTGGAACGCCAACTGTGAGCCAGACCTAATCTCCCAACATCAGTGCCCGACCTCACTAATGCTCTTGTGGCTGAATGGAAGCAAGTCCCCGCAGCAATGATCCAACATCTAGTGGAAAGCCTTCCCAGAAGAGTGGAGGCTGTTATAGCAGCAAAGGGGGGACCAACTCCATATTAATGCCCAGGATTTTGGAATGAGATGTAATAATACATGTGCCATTTAGCAGATGCAACTTACAGTCATGCGTACATACATTTTCCGTATGGGTAGCCCCGAGAATCCGAACCCACAATGCTGAGCCACCACAATAACATGCATGTGCGATATGTGACCGAGGTAAAGACAGTTTCAGGTTGGATATTCGGCAGCTATTCGCGCTTCAAACCTCAATAGCTTTCAAACCACTTGAGCCACAGGCTCCAAATAAGTGTCATGATGTTGGAAAAACTGCGCACAACATTGCACAGGTCTTATTTTCACAATTTGGATATGAATTTGCTTTCCAAAGCTAATAAACGTGGAAATGTTAGCAGCATTCCATATTCCTAGTTGAATTAGTTAGGGAGCGTAAACAAAGTACATACATTTTATTACTCACTATGCCTTCATATCGCACACTCTGTTGTTTGTCTACTTTCATCTCACACTATTAGACTTCAATCTGTAAACCCGAGACCCAGTAGGTGTGGACATTGCTGCACAGTGGACACCCACACTCAGAAGTCATTTGGGGAAAAAGAGAGTATATGCTACTTGTATTATTCTCCTGTAAATGGTTCAGTGCCTATAATTTAGGCTGTGTAGAATGGGGCATAAAGGAAATTACCTCTACTAGATTATGCTGATAAGGAAAACAGCATACCGTTTTGGCCTGTGTATTCATTTGCCTATAACTAATCAGAATTCCATTATGTTTACATAAAAAAGAGAATACTTGAAAATGAGAAGATCCTGCCATGGAAAAGACGACTGGGAGGACATAAAGTGGAAAGGAGGGAAAATAACTCCCACCATGCAGCAGGACACCTTCAGCTGTGGGGTCTTTGTAATACAGGTTTGATAGTTATATTTTCAATAATGAATGGTTAGCTGTTATGTGACAATTAGGTCAAAAACTGTATTTTCCTTTTTGGTGTAGATTGCCAAGTAAGTTGCACAGAACTTCCCCAACATCCCCTCCCAAATGGATATAGAACCTTCACAAAAACAAATGGAGCAACTGCGAAAAGAAATGATCACTTTTCACCCGGTTCAAACTCCTCCCACCGTGGTAATCCGGGCCAGATAAATGAACCCCCTCATTGAATGGGGCTCCGTTGTTTCATCACCCCCAACGCGTTCAAAGGATCACAGCCGTTTGAGACCGAAAAGCCCTATACGGTGTCGTGACGTGACTCTCATTATTATGATGACTATTATTTATCGAATAATTACCTACTATGTTTAATTGTTACTAGATTAAATTAAATCCTACAACAATTAACTCATTAGGAATTTGGGGCACCACCGGAAAAGTTGTTTAATGAGTTACCGTTTCCCGAATTAACTCTAAAGATATCTAGATATCTCTTATCGTTTAACAGTCATTTATTAATCATTTACCTCATATCAGTCTCATTCTGAAAGTCGTAGACTCTTTAAGTCTGCACGAACCCGGGTCTTACTTATCATTCCGTACTACACAAATTGATTTAATTATTTATTTACTAACTATTTAAAAATGATATCACAAGATACAAACACATACACGGTATAGGTAGGGATTAGAAACTTAATACATTGAAAACGGGTCCCTAGCGGACTAACACAATATGACACTTGTTACTAAAGATGGCGAGTTAAAGATGAGAGAGAGAGAAAACACTTGGATACACATGGACCTACGCTCACAGTAATCCTAAAAGAAAAGTAATGCATGTATTTACGTGTTGGAGGTCTTCGTCGTGTATCTTTGTTGGACCCAGGCATTCGTGGGAAGGGGTCGATTGGGCCTTCTCTTTCGGATGGCCTTTTAGATGTAAGGCTCAGATGTAAGGCTCAGATTGTCCACAAGAGGTCACAATGTCCTTCTTAGTCGTCTGTTTACGTTCACTTGTTCTGGAAGTGGTCTTCTGAGGACGGCTAATCAGCCGTGTCGATGATCCCCTGGGTGATGAGAGCAGTGTAGTAGATGATGGTTTGAAGAGAGTAACAGGATGGTCCCACTTAAATTCACCTTCTTAGATACAGTACTAAGAACAGCTACTCAGCCGTAACATTGATTGTTAGTGGAGGCAACTTTGTCGTCTTCACCTCGTGTTGATTTTCAAGGTCGGGACCAATATGGACAAAAGCTGCAGCTTGAGGTCTGTCTAGTCTGATCTGATCATTCTTAACTCAATCTTTTATGCACTCTGGTAAAGAGGTGCGTTTCCATCATACTGACATGCTCTCTGAGCTCCGTCGGGCGTGGCTAGTTACGAGGCAAAATTATTATCAATCACATTCTTATCTTCACGAAAACATTGTCTTCCTCCTTGATATTTTCTACATAATGTAAAGGATGTGTACCTGATATACACAGTGTAAAAGCTCTTCAAGTCACACTGTTTTCGTTATAACGCCAGAGAATCTTGTTTCTCAAGGTCTGAGAGTCCTTTAGGTGCCTTTTGGCAAACTCCAAGCGGGCTGTCATGTGCCTTTTACTGAGGAGTGGCTTCCATCTGGCCACTCTACCATAAAGGCCTGAATGGTGGAGTGCTACAGAGATGGTTGTCCTTCTGGAAGGTTCTCCCATTTCCACAGAGGAACTCTGGAGCTCTGTTAGAGTGACCATCGGGTTCTTGGTCACCTCCCTGACCAAGGCCCTTCTCCCCCGATTGCTCAGTTTGGCTGGTGGTCAAATGATCAATGGAAGCAGGAAGCACCTGAGCTCAATTTCGAGTCTCATAGCAAAGGGTCTGAATACTTATTAAAATAAGGTATTTCTGTTTTTAATTTTTTATGAATTTGCTAAAGAAATCTAAAAACCTGTTTTTGCTTTGTCATTATGGGGTATTGTGTGCAGATTGATGAAGAAATGTTTTTATTTTGTCCATTTTAGAATAAGGCTGTAACGTAACAAAATGTGGAAAAAGTCAAGGGGTCTGAATACTTTCCAAATGCACTGTAGTACCTGTTTGTGTCAGATATCACCTATCCTAACTGCCATTGGTGACTATGTGTGTACAGTATGTGTTCACAGAAACATGTATGGAGCCAGCTCATGGAGACTTGCAATATGATGTGATGAAGTCCAGAATTACAGACAGGCTTGATACTGATGTCTCTGAATGGAGAGAAACCTGGCACGGCATTAACATTTTACTAGACAACTTTTACTTATGGGGAGGGAGAAACCCTGTGTATTCTGCACCAGGATCAGGGAACTCCTGGTGTATACAGGACACCACACAAGAAGGTATGACCACTCTGACATGTTTGCCAAGGTAGCCCCATTACCACCAGACAAAATGTTGATAGGCACAGTATCTTTATTGGCTGGGAAATACAATGAAAGGTGAAAGGTGCACATTGTTATTTTAGCAGAACACTGATTGTATGGTATTATGTGAAGGGTTGTTTATTCTGTATGGACCTGTTACTACATTTGAAAGTTATTAAAACACTAAGTTTAGAATATCTACATAAATTCAGCAGTTGCATTCTTCTCATACTACTCTGTAGGCTACTGACCAATTCAAAGCAATAACAGCTAGTTTTCAGTTTTTTGCTAAAAAGCTATTTTTGCCCATTTTAATGGAAGTATTTTTGCCCATTTTAATTTAAGAAATATACTTAATTGTTACGCAGAAAGTATTTGATATTGATATAAAAACGTCTGATTGGTCCTTTAACTGAATGTGTAACATGGCCTATTAAACACAAAAACTATGTTTCGAGTGACAATTAGGCAGGTCTGATGCCAAAAAAAGAAAGACAATTCTTACCTACTACACCCATATTTTATTTGAGCCAAAAAGTAGTGTGTAGTTAGAATGGCAACAACAAAAGTTAACTACTTAAAACACTACCAAGATTTTTAATGTGGTTCAATTACCACCAACCTACAGCACAATGTAGTTCAATTACTAGTTGAACTATATGTAGTTCATTACTCCCCAACACTGAATATCAACTCATGGGATAGAGAGGGAGACAGATAATGATAAGCCAGACTATAAGGAATGCTTGCACTATGGTCAATTGTGCAAGTATGTAACAGTTAACAAAATAAACTCATAACCATTGATTCACAGGGAATATTTTGTTTGGCTGTGGTGAGTCACAGAGGATTAGATGGATGATCAGAACACATGTGGGCACAATCTTGGGCTTATTCAGGTGGCTGGAATCAGAGTTTGGGTTAATTCCACAAATTCAAATTTAATTTAATTCACTCACCCTGTAAATGTCATTAAATGAAATTAAAATTCCAGGTCAGTCTTTGAATTCAGAGAGACTATTAAATTCCAATTTTTTTTTTAAAGAAGAACAAAATACAATTCCAACTGAATTCTAATTCCAATTCAATTCCAATTCCACCAATATGCTCTTCCAACCCCTAGCCCTGCTCAAGGTGAAGGTTATCGGGAGTCATTCCACAGTGCCCTGCTGGAAAATACCCCAAAGCGGGGGCATTTTGGGTACACAAGCATGAGGGAGCGGACACACCTTGCGGTTATGGAGCACATCGAGATTGTGGGACAAATCATGTAGTAACAAAAAAAGTGTTAAACAAATCAAAATATATTTTATATTCTTCAAAGTAGCCACCCTTTGCCTTGATGACAGCTTTGCACACTCTTGGTATTCTCTCAACCAGCTTTACCTGGAATGCTTTTCCAACAGTCTTGAAGGAGTTCCCACATATGCTGAGTTTCATTCACACTTTTTTGGTTGCTGCATGATTCCATATGTGTTGTTTCATGGTTTTGATGTCTTCGCTATTGTTCTACAATGTAGAAAACTGTAAAAATGGAGAGGGACCCTTGAGTGAGTGGGTGTGTCCAAACTTTTGACTGGTACTGTATATAAGGTCCCACAGTTGACAGTACATGTCAGAGCAAAAACCAACCCATGAGGTCGAAGGAATTGTCCGTAGAACTCAGAGACAGGATTGTGTCGAGGCAGAGATCTGGGGAAGGGTGCCAAAACATTTCTGCAGCATTGAAGGTCCCCAAGAACACAGTGGCCTCCATTATTCTTAAATGGAAGAAGTTTGGAACCACCAAGACTCTTTCTAGAGCTGGCTGCCCAGACAAACTGAGCAATCGGGGGAGAAGGGCCTTGGTCAGGGAGGTGACCAAAAACCCGATGGTCACACTGACAGAGCTCCAGAGCTCCTCTGTGGAGATGGGAGAACCTTCCAGAAGGACAACCATCTCTGCAGCACTTCACCAATCAGGCCTTTATGGTAGAGTGGCCAGACAGAAGCCACTCCTTAGTAAAAGGCACATGACAGCCTGCTTGGAGTTTGCCTAAAGGAGGAAACCTGGCACCATCCCTATGGTGAAGCATGGTGGTGGCAGCATCATGCTGTGGGGATGTTTTTCAACGGCAGGGACTGGGAGACTAGTCAGGATCGAGGCAATGATGAACGGAGCAAAGTACAGAGAGATCCTTGATGAAAACCTGCTCCAGAGCGCTCAGGACTTCAGACAGGGGCAAAGGTTCACCTTCCAACAGGACAACAACCCTAAGCACACAGCCAAGACAACGCAGGAGTGGCTTCGGGACAAGTCTCTGAATTTCCTTGAGTGGCCCAGCCAGAGCCCGGACTTAAACCCGATCAAACATCTCTGGAGAGACCTGAAAATAGCTGTGCAGCGACACTCCCCTGTAGCTCAGTTGGTAGAGCATGGCGCTTGCAATGCCAGGGTTGTGGGTTCGTTTCCCACAGGGGGCCAGTATGAAAAATGTATGCACTCAGTAACTGTAAGTCGCTCTGGATAAGAGCGTCTGCTAAATGACTAAAATGTAAATGTATAATGTGAAGAATCAAATTTAATTAAACATTTCAAATGAAATTGGAATTGACCCCAACACTGGCTGGAATGTTCATAGCATTAAAGTTAGAAATACGAAATAGAGCAAATGTGAGTATTTTATTCACATTGAATACAGTAACCTAGCTATATATCTACGGTATCTGCAGACGTTACACCTTGCTGTCTACACCCCGGTTGTTCATTACATTCTATAAGGAGGGAGGGTCTGATGCACCTTACTCCCATACAGGTTCTATTGTGTTTGTTGGATTTTCGTTTAGGCAAAGACTGATAAATACTCCTATTGTGGAAAATACCCAAATCAAAGAGCTGGTAGTTTATCAGGGTATTGCATTTGCATGAACATTGTAGTGGTGTGCAGAGAAGGAAAAGAGAGAGGGGAAGTTGCAGCTCTCTGAAGGGAAAGGGTGCATTCTGCCCCATATCAAGGCAAGCCTTGTATTTCCTGTTGTCACTATGGTTAGTTCTTACTAGTAAGAATTATTCTTTTATGGGAACAATCCTATCCCACTGAGCCTCTGTAGAATACCCTGTTTGTGCAGATCCTAGCATTATGTCTTGTAATTACGTCTTTACATGATTTATGCCATGGAGTAGAAAGCAGGTCCCTCAAGTCAGCAAAGTAGTGGTGTGGTGGATTAGTAAATGAATAGCTAACATTACAGAATGGAGTGATGTTGTAGGCTGAATGAATGTGTTGTTGTGGTAATACAGCACAGTACTGTTCTTTACCTGAACCTCTCCTGGCCTGCTGTGTCCCAGAACTGCAGTTTGACCCTAACGCCAGGCTTCACCTCCAGGAAGTGCACGTAGAAGTCCACCCCTACTGTCTGGTTGATGCAGTCCAGAAACATCTCCTCTGTGTAACGCTTCAGCAGGGACGACTTACCAACTGTCGTGTCCCCTAACATGATGATCCTGAACTGGTACTGCCACAGAGTCAGGTCCATAGTAGCTGCTGAGGACTGGAGAGAGGGATGGTGCAGATGGAGGGAGATATGGAGAGAGGGATTCCCCTCAGGAAGCCAGAGGCAGATAGGTGTTTGACAAGCTGGAGCTGGTTCCTCAATGCTCTCCGAGAAATAGTGGGAGAGACACTTCTCACGGCTCCCACATAGAACAGTCTCTGTCTGTAGTGTCAGCAGCCAGGAAACACCCTCACATTGTTGAACACCTGCTGCGAAAGTGTGTTTGGTTCAGTGTGTGTGCTGGCTCCTCAAATCCTCAGTGAAAGCACCTGTGGAAGAATGTCCATCCCATAGAGTTCTTAAGTTATGTTGGCGTCCTCCTTCATGCAGATCTCGACTGATACTGTACAAGCATGTGCATGCGTGTATGAGTGTTTGGTAGGGTTGGGAACTTCCAAAGTTTGCCTGTGCCTGTTGATACTTGACAAAGGGAGAGGTGCAAGAGTGTGAGAGGGAGGGAGGGCTCTCCAATGGAAAAGGGAGGGGTGCGCAGATGGAAAGAGAAAAGGGGAGTTGCGGCTCTCTGAAGGGAAAGGGTGCAGTTTGTCCCTTATCAAGGCAAACCTTGTATTTCCTATTGTCAGTCACTATTTGACAGTATATGTTTCACTAAATAAGTATATGATGTAGGATGCAAGCACTCAATGACTGTATATCAAGTTGTCAGGAAACATTAATTGAATCATAGATTCTGATTGGGTAGTCTCCCCCATAGCCCACTATATGGGTACAGTTGAGCCTCTGAAAAAGGGAAGTGGACAACAAAACAACCTAAACTCTCCTAGGACTCACTAGGAGGGGCTGCTTGGGATTTTAATAGCTCAAGTCAAGACAGGAACTTGCATGTTCACGACGTGCAATTCAGGTGCAAGGCTTGTCATTGGAAACAAGAGTGACTGGTGCACACTGAAAAGGGTGGTCTATTCAGGGTCACAGAATATCACCAGTCTTACGTCAAATTTGATCTCAAACATAATAGGAAACATTTATCAAAAAAGCATTGCAAATAAATTCAAGAGGTTTTCTAATATTTTTTTAAAAGGGAAGGATGTTCACAGATTCTTTATTTTCATCTTCCATTCATTCATTAGTGCATCACTGTTTTATTCAATAACACCTGGCTGGGTGGCTTTTTCTGAGGGAAATTGACAAGCACATACATCTCTGACTACATTTACATATAGATATATTATCAATCTGTATTCACACCGTTGATCCTTCTGGCCTAACAAATAACAATAGTGTTCTTAGCCAAAGTTTAACTTTAAAGAATAACAAAAAAAATTAAGGGGGGGGGCATAGTAATGCTGATATGTTGCATTCAATTGTAGTGATTAACGCTTAACAATAGTCTAAAATCTTGCCATTTTGGTTTCCTGCGTCATTTCAGAGAGCTACTTTTCTCAGTAATTACACCTTCTGTTGGGTGATATGAAAGGTATTTATTTTCAGGTAGATGAGCGGAGGCTGCTGTATTGAGTTCAAACAGGTGAGGTGAACAGGCACAATGAAATAGTCCCTGTAACAGCAGTACCAGCATAAACAGAGGAACAGGTGCATGTAACTGGTAACTCCTAGGAGACAGACGGGAATTTCAGCTCAGCGATCTCAGAGTCTGGAGAGCTGCTGTCGCTTAGGTCACTGTATGTGTCTCTGTAACGCAAGGGACAGAGTTATATACATCCATAATACTGTCTCAGGATGATATGATAAGTCATAGATATAAACTAGGGTATAGCGTTAGAAAAATCCAATACTGGCTGTCTATGGGTAACTTTTTTCATTCCCCTTTTCGCAGCCCAAATGCTGCTCATCTTGCTTGCCTCCATCTGATGGAGTAAAAGGAAATGATGAGAAATACAATGATCTGCATGGTCTTACCGTGGTGAGAGGCGACAACCTTTCTGTAGGTAGCTCTGGAGTTTCCCTGCTGCAGCCAGCAGGAGGCCAAAGTAGGGGGGCGAGGGCTTGATGGGACGAGAAGTGAACTCTGGGTGGTACTGCACTCCAACAAAATAGGCATGATCTGAAACAACACAGGTGGGAAGGTGATCGGTTTGAGATGGATGCTACGGACCTATACATTTCGGTTGGCATAGTTACAGCTGTTGTTACATTTCAAATTGATAAAAAAAAAATACATATTTTTTTCAATTCAGTCAAGAAAGTACTTTATGAAGTGATAACGCTCTATTTAACATTAACATTTCCAAGAGCCAGACTGTGCAAGACATTGAAATGTCTCCATGGTTAACTCACCATCCAGCTCAATGACCTCCATCCGCTCTCCCTCCACGTCCTGGCCGACAAAACGGAAGCCCCTCTCCTCAAAGTGGTGCTTCAGCTCAGGATTCACCTAAGAGGACAGAGCTCCCATCAATTCAACCCATCCACACTTATAATGTAATACATGTAACACTTCCATATGCAAATGGTTTGTCAATTGCATACTAATAATAGCAGTCTCTTCAAGTAACATGTAATGTAAAAATGTAATGCAAATATACACATCATGACTCGATTCAGCTCTTGTACCTCAAAGCGGTGACGATGCCTCTCGTCAACATATTCAGCATCGCCATACAGCTTTCCTGAAAAAATACTGAATATTATCAACCATTATAACACACCAAACACAATCAAATGCTATGTGGTTTTGCCAAGATTAGCACTCACTCAAAATGCTGGTGTTGGATTTGAAGATGGTCCGCCTCTTCCCCAACCTCATCGTCCCGCCCATCTGCCCAGGGTTGTGTTCTGGCATGTCAATCACCTGTCAAAACAGTACCAGAATTTCACAATGTTCGTGAGCCAAAACTCAGTGAGAAGTGACAGAGAGATGGACTTGGTTACTATGGCATACCTACCACAGGGTGTTTAGATTCTGGGTGGAATTCAGTAGAGTTGGCATCTGTCAGGTTTGAGAGTTTAACATTTAACTTATGCACATTCTGGAATTATGCAACATACACCTCAAGGATATAATGATTAGTGATTCAAAGATTACTCACCTTGCCAGCCAATAACATTGCGGGCAAATTCACACACTGCCAACTGCATGCCCAAACATACCCCTACAAAAAGACAATTGGGATTAAATGTGTGCAATAAAAAAAGTCAGTCTGAACCAGTCTGATCCGAATTTCTATGATGGATTCAATGATAAAGAGTGACATACAGAATATAATTTCCATTTAACAAAACATGCTAAACTGACACATGATACGTTACAATACTTTTGATTAATTTCCATTTCATTAATGCTTAAATACCTTACCTAAAAATGGCTTTTTCTTTTTCCTTGCCCAGCTGATAGCCTGGATTTTCCCCTCTGTCCCCCGTACACCGAAGCCTCCAGGTACCAAGACACCACTGTGTGTATGAGACAATATTGATCCTTCACTGACAGGAGAACACAGCTCCCTTGGCTTAGGGTTACAATTACACAGGAAAAAAAATGTAGTCACAATGCTCATGCAAGTTCTGTGGGATTTATGGTGTCAAGCAGCCATTATATTGAGTCCTTCTTTAACCTGTCTCCTCCCCATCTACACTGTTTGAAGTGGATTTAACAAGTGACATCAATAAGGCATCATAGCTTTCACCTGGTCAGTCTATGTCATGGAAAGAGCAGGTGTTTTTAATGTGTTGTATACTCAGTGTAGGTGTTTTGCTGTAGACACTCACTCAGCACTGCAGAGTTTCTGCCAGGCCTCATGGTACTTCACAGGCTCCTCCTGCAGTGTATTTGGCTCTAGGTCTGCAGAGTCTATGAACTGCAAGAGGGAGACTGAGGGTCAGTGGGAGGTGGGTGGCATAAGAACATGACATACAGTAATCGTCTTTTTTATTATAACATTATAACATATAAGAAGGCCATATTTAACAGTACATTAGAACAGAGCTTCTCATAATCCTTTGTCTGTAAGGACACGCAAGGTTTGGTTTGCACAAAAGACAACACCAATGCCACCGATGGAAGCAGACGCGCTGCGCGTAGAGCCCTGCGGCTGCTAGTGGTCCTCCAACCCCACCTTTATTCGGGAACTCAAGTCGGGGTCTCCATTTACAGTTGAGAGTTAGAAAAGTAGAATACACAAGGTGCAATTTCGAAATTTGGTAGTGAATCAGCAGTTTTCCACAGTCACTCAATTAGCCCATGTCAACTAAAATGTTTTAGATTGCTAGGTAAGGTAATCTAGCCAGCTATCTAAACCTTGTAGTAATCATCACCAAATTACCGACCGGGCACACAGGGCACTTTGTTAGTCACTCTCACTATCATTTGAACAAGTCATGGCAAAATGTGTAGAATTGTAGGAAGTTAGCTTTAAAACTGCAAAAATGTATCTCTGCCCCATGGCAAAAAGAACACGACAAAAAAATGATGATCCACTGCCAAGAGCGAGGGCACTAAAAGGGAGCATGGGTGAATGTGACTGGGTTCCATACCTTGATCTCTAGTTTGTGGTTGATGGCGAGGGCTGAGTGCTCCAGGGCCTTGATGACAGAGGCATATGAGTCAGAGAACTTTGTGTACTTCCCTACCAGGGCGACGGACACATGTTCCAGGAGTCGGTCAGACCTGAGAGGAGACAGTTCAGTTCCAACATGTTCCGAGGACCCTGGGGTATCAAGTCAATATACATTTTAGACCAAAACATGGTAAAATATTCAATCAAACCGGGGTGAGACTCACAATTCAGTATGGGGGAATTCCAACCCTAGATAATCGTGCATAAATGGAACATAATTCCTTTTTATGCACTTTTCTCTCTATGCACATTCTGACCTTGAACTTAAGCATGAGAATAGCATGCTATTCACCCGCTTTTCATTTTGGGTGGAGATCAAAGAAATAAGGTGTAGCGGAGGTGTGTCTACAGTATTCTGACCTTTACTTAATTCCCTCATAATTCCACCACCTTTAGGCACGATGAAATGATGAATAAGGTCGAGCAACCTGTCAGTTCCAAGTGGAACATCTACTTTATTTGATCCAATAGAAATAACACCATTCTCCATGCACTGTAATTCACAAATTGATAAGAGCTATTGATTAGAGCTAGGTAAACGTGTAAGCTGTTTGGATAAGGGGATTGTAAATATAAATTACAATATTGTTTTAGATCTATTTTACCTTATGATCGCTGGAGACAAACGTGAACCCAGTCATATGGACACACACAGACACACAATAACATACGCACTATACACACACATGGATTTTGTGTTGTAGATTGTGGTTGTAGAATAGTGGCCTAAGGGCACACACTTCATGTGTTGTGAAATCTGTTGTGAAATGTATTTTTAAATTGTATAACCGCCTTAATTTTGTTGGACCCTAGGAAGAGTAGCTGCTGCTAAATATGTATATGCGACCAATAAAACGTTATTTGATTTCACCTGTCGGACATCTCCTTCCACTTGGTGAGCATCTTCCCGGCCCTCATCTCAATAGGGAGGTCCAGCCGCTGGCAGATGTAGCCCACCACCCCCTGGTCCTCCAGTAGGAGGGGTACTCTGTAGATGGACGACACGTCTGCCACGCAGATCACCTGGGGACAGGGAGAGAGAAAAGCATAAGAATCGGATTTAAATGGTCCTGGTTGACTTAAACAGTAACTTTTTCCTGGGTTGTGTTCATTTAGGCACGCAACGGAAAACTGACATTTGTTCCTCCCTGTTTCAGTCCATTTTAAATGAACATGACCCAGTCATGTTAAAACGGTCATAGACAGAGAAGGCCTTACTTGCGTGGGCTCTACGTGACAGAACATGGAGATCTTCTCTTTGGTAGCGTTCTCCAGAGGTGTCGCACAGCGGCACATGATCTGAAAATACATGAGGAGAAGCATATCGCACATTGATAACATTCTATGCCATAGTTAGCCAATTCCAAGAGTCCCAAGGCAAAAGGATGAGGGAGTATCTAACTCACCAGGTCTGGGGAGAGTCCTAGTCCACGGAGCTCTCGGACACTGTTCTGAGTGGGTTTAGTCTTCTGTTCTCCTGTTGCAATGGGCTAAAGGCAGACAAAGTTACATTTCAGTTCTCAGTTAAGCATCATTGTACAACCTTTTACTTGAAACACAACTGATGTGCTTTTGAGACTAAGTTAAAGCGTTCATGATGTTTTACAATGCTTATATATGGGATTGTGTTTTGATTCAATTGTGTGTGTGTGTGTGTGTGTGTGTGTGTGTGTATTAATGCAGTAAAAGGCTGACAATGTTTAGACACTTTTGATACAGATGTGCCTTGTCGCAACGCTGAAATCGGCTTTCAAACAAGCCCTACTCTGTGCGCGCGTGTGTGTGTGTGTTTTAAAGCGCTTACCTGTGGTACTAAGCTGACGTGAATGTTGCAGAAGTTATCCCTCTTCACTTTGAACTGGAACTGTCTGAAGGCCTCGATAAATGGCATGCTCTCAATGTCTCCCACAGTGCCTCCCAACTGTCAACACAGGACACAGCCTGAGACCTCAACATTCACTAGGCAAAAAACGCAAGAAACCGTCTGAAACGGGGAGGTACTATCTGAACAGCTCATTTTCCATTGCACGTTTTGAAATGTGTTGCTAGTGTGTCCTAATCAATACAACCCAGCTTAACAATCCCTGGCTAAAACCACAGACACCAATGACAACTTCATGGGGACAATCACAATGGCCTATAATGAATGACCCATAATAAGACGGGGCGGCAGGTAGCTTAGTGGTTAAGAGCGTTGTGCCAGTAACCGAAAGGTCGCTGGTTCTAATCCCCGAGCCGACTAGGTGAAAGATCTGTCGATGTGCCCTTGAGCAAGGCACTTAACCCTAATTGCTCATGTAAGTCGCTCTGGATAAGAGCGTCTGCTAAATGACAAAAAAAAAAATATATACATATATATATAAAAAAATAAAAAAATAAGACAAACTTGACTACGCTGTGGCTCGTACCTCTATAACGCAGACTTGTGGCTCTACCCCATCGTCATCCACTGAGATCTTGGCCTGCTTCATCACCCACTCCTGAATGGCATCTGTGATGTGTGGCACCACTGAGATAAGAGAGAAAACATCAGCAAAATAGAATCAGCATCCAAAGAGACTCGAGATCAGCATAGAAATAAGGACTATGGAGAGACCCTTACAAATCAACACAACAGCTAGGAGTGAGGTCATTGGTTTCCAGGTGTTGCCCTAATCCTAATGCCCCTTGCCTAGTGGAGAACCCTTGTTCACTCCCTCACCCTGTACAGTTTTGCCCAGGTAGTCTCCCCTCCTCTCCTTGTTGATGACTGACTGGTAGATTTTGCCCGTGGTCAGGTTGTTGTCCCTGGTTAGCCTGATGTCCAGGAAGCGCTCGTAGTTTCCTAAATCCAGGTCCACCTCACCTCCATCGTCCAACACAAACACTTCACCTGGATGGGTGATGCAACTCAAGTCAATTAGATAGGCATGCATTGGCCTAGCCCTCACAGATTAAATCCTTTAGTCAGAGAGGACTCACCACACAAATGCACTCACCATGTTCATAAGGTGAGAAGGTGCCAGCATCAATGTTGATGTAGGGGTCGATTTTGATGGCAGTCACATGCAGACCACAGGACTTCAGGATTAAGCCCACACTACTGGCAATGATGCCCTTGCCAATTCCGGATATGACACCGCCAGTGACCAAGATGTACTTCATAGTGGCATGTGAAACCTAGAAACAAATAGAAGATGACAATCAATGTTAGACAACAGAAAACCTGTTCGCCATATGCCTACAGGTTAGTGCTGAGCGATTAACCGAAATGTATGTTATTTTATGGTTTTTAAACAACTAATTGACAGATGTCGGTTCAATTATTTGAATTCCATTTCATTATGTTTTTTCTGTGAGCTCAGGGTATCAGAGAACGAGTCAGTATCTGGTGTGACCACCATTTGCCTCACGCAACGCGACATCTCCTTTGCATAGAGTTGATCAGGCTGTTGATTGTGGCCTGTGGAATGTTGTCCCACTCCTCTTCAATGGCTGTGCAAAGTTGCTAGATATTGGCGGGAACTGGAACACGCTGTCTTACACTTCGATGCAGAGCATCCCAAACATGCTCAAATGGGTGACATGTCTGGTGAGTATGCAGGCCATAGAAGAACTGGGACATTTTCAGCTTCCATGAATCGTCTACAGATCCTTGCGACATGGGGCTGTGCATTATCATGCTGAAACGTGATGGCGGCGGATGAATGGCACGACAATGGTACTCAGGATCTCGTCACGGTATCTCTGTGCATTCAATTTGCCATCGATAAAATGCTAACCAATCCCCATCTGCCTGGTACAGTTGAAACCGGTATTCATCTGTGAAGAGCACACTTCTCCAGAGCACCAGTGGCCATCGAAGGTGAGCATTTGCCCACTGAAGTCGGTTACGACCCTGGTGAGGACGACGAGCACGCAGTTGTTCTTCCCTTAGACGGTTTCTGACAGTTTGTGCAGAAATTCTTCAGTTGTGCAAACCCCCAGTTTCATCAGTGGTCACAGTGGCTGGTCTCAGACGATCCCGCTGTTGAAGAAGCCGGATGTGGAGGTCCTGGGCTGGCGTGGTTACACCTGGTTTGCGGTTGTTGCAGACATTCCTGCAGTCAGCATGCCAATTGCATGCTCCCTCAAAACTTGGCATTGCGTTGTGTGACAAAACTGCACATTTTAGAGTGGCCTTTTATTGTCCCCAGCACAAGGTGCTGTTGGTATTCAGCATTCATAAAATGATGCCTTATTTACTTTGAAGAACTACTAAAATAGTGATTTTGTCAGACAGCAGAGGCAGCAGCTCTATAGAGATGAGATGATGACTTGGAATGAAATAATAAAGTCATCAAATAAAACAAATGTAATAAACACAACTGAAATATTTTGTTAAAAGTAATGTGAATAAATTATTGTTAATAAGTGAGAAGTCTACCAACATGGGCCTTTTATTATTTGTTTTATTCTGTGTTACAGCATTCAACCCACATAATGGATAGTGATTATTTTTTTATAATAGAACAGAAACCGAACAGACCTCAAAAAGCATTTATCGCTCAGCACTACCATAGGTAAAGGTTTGACTATCCTACCTCTTACTATACTAGTCTAACCAGTTTTAGCCAACATCTGTTTGGTGAGTAGGTCTAGGCTTAATGATTCTGATGAAAATACGCTCTGTCTTTATCAAAGTAATGCTTTTGCATATTTTCAGTGTGGAAACCGTCTATGTTTAGGGGGGTTACAGCCTAGGCTAATCAATTCTAAATGGCACTAGCAGTTCGCAAAGTATCCTAAGCTGAAAATAGACGGGATGCAATTATTCCAAAACTGCAGCTCATTGTTGGAACACATACAAAGGTATGTGGACACCCCTTCAAATTAGTGGATTCGGCTATTTCTGCCACAACCGTTGCTGACAGGTGTATAAAATTGAGCACATAGCCATGCTATCTCTGTAGACAAACATTGTCAATAGAATGGCCTTACTGAAGACCTCAGTGACTTTCAACATGGCACCGTCATAGGATGCCACCATTCCAACAAGTCAGTTCGTCAAATTCCTGCCCTGCTAAGGCTTCCCCGGTCAACTGTAAGTGCTGTTATTGTGAAGCGGAAAGTCTAGGAGCAACAACGGCTCAGCCGCAAAGTGGTAGGCCACACAACCTCACAGAACAGGACCACTGAAGCAGTAAAAATCGTCTGTCCTCGGTTGCAACACTCACTACTGAGTTCCAAATTCGCCATATAAAGTACACAGAAGAAGACTGAAGGAGGAGAGATTACTAGAAACGACCTAGGTTGCCCCTTTTATCTGTGGATTAATTGTCAGAGTAGAGAACACACGATGTTACCGGTCTCAAAATGGGTCAACATTATACAAAGATTTTAAAAAAGGACCTTGTGCATTTCAGGTAAAATAACAACCCAATGTTTATATCACAGGATAAATTAGCTAGCTAAATGTCCATGAACGTTTCATGTGTTTCGACCTGTCCCCAAATTAATATTGTTGGTTCAGTTTGTTTTGATATTTCAACCTGCATGTCCTGATCGCTTCTGGTGTGGATGGCCAAAATCACCATGCTCGCAATGGCGGACGCACGTGCGTGCCCGGTCAAGTCAGCGTGTTAGACTTGCTTTCAATGAGAATGACAGACCTATAACTCACATTTCTATGTGAATTTGGTCGGGTTGCCCAAAAAGTTACATATTGCAGCTTTAAGGATCGAGTTTTGACGTTCGTTCGAGTACTCATGCCTATCCCTGATATGTTCCCCACCTTCTCGCCATTAAATATAGTTAGGGAGGAAATCGCTGAATTGAGAATGTTTTGGTTACGAACCGATCCAAGTGGATACAAATGTATTGCCGGCTGCGTACATTGCATTTGGATGGTAAAACGAAACGACTCAATATCGCCATCTGCCGGCCTTTGGACTAAATCAATTTAAGTCCGGAGAAAGTTTTTTTTTTTTTTTTTTTTACATTTTTGTCATTTAGCAGACGCTCTTATCCAGAGCGACTTACAGTTAGTGATCGCATACATTATTATTATTAATGTATTTATTTCATACTGGCCCCCCGTGGGAATCAATTAAGTCATAAATGACAGAAATGTTTTGAATGATAGAAATGGCAACGTACTTGTTCGATGGATTTCGAGGCAATTCGTTTTTCCAGACATTTCAGTCATTGAAATAATTTAAAGTTAGCCTAATGCCGCGTTCAAAATAACTGGGAACTCTGAAATATCCGACTTCCGTCCGTTCAAGAGAACTGGAAACTCGGGGAAATAAAATCCACCTCGACTGGGAAAAATCGTTTTCAACACTCACCCAACTCGGAATTCCAAGTCGGAAACTCGGCCATCTTTCTAGAACTCATACTTTCCGACCTGAACAGTACTGACTTAAAGAGTTAACCTTGTTTTTCCCCCCCCCGAATTCCCAGTTGTCTTGAAAGCACCATAACATTCAAATCATGTCATGCTAGCTGTCATACATTCACCTTAGTGTTTGAATCTCTTCTATTACATGAAAGACGTTCATGTTTGTATGTATTTCACTTCTAACTACTATAGTGCTCTATGTGGCTGTAGTTTTTTTGTCTGGTTGTTCACCCAGTTTCAACTTCTCACAATTGCGGAAATCCAATGGCGGGAAATAAAAATGGCACACTGCACTGCAGTTGAATATAAACAGAGGATGCAAGGAATTGCGAGGTATTTTTCCTCATGGTAATCACATCGTTTCTGTTTAGATAATTTTGTTTATACACTCAAATATAATAACATGATATGACAAGTATAGCCAGCCAGGTTCGCTGCTTCTTACATGATCTCGCTAGTTAGCGATGTAAAACATGACTTTACCACCACTGGCAGTGCATTACCGTTGCATCATTGCAACACTAGCCCTCACCTGATCAAGCTACTATACTAATCCGTGGCTGTCTTGCTATCTGGTGTAGTTAGCACAGCAAGCTGGTAGCTAGCTTCTACTCGACTTGAACTCACCGAATTATACAAATACAGATGACATCTTCCGCTCAAGCCCCAGGAGGACCACACATGAAATGGTCTAAAGTCAATTCTTCATGTATTCTGTGTCATGCACGATATTGTTACAACTTGCCTATTCACGTTCTTCTGTGTTGGTACACGTGTGGCGACATCTGATACTAAAGAAGACCTCGCGGCCGCATAAACGAGGCAGAATTGAATGCAATGATTTACATATGACAAAGTGAAAAGGATTGACTCTGCATGCAGCCAAGCCAAATGATGTACAACCTGTCGCGCGCATTTGCTGCGCACTGCACTGTAAACACTCATGAGCAGGACTTTAGCAACGTCACTGTCGTGTTTGCGGTCGGAATAGGTGCTTGGCGGTGTCTGCAACAGTAAGGCTAGTTTGGTGTGCAACGACCAGTGGTGGTGTATAACCAGGTATACTGGAATAAAATGACGTCTCTGGTATAATTTAACTAACGATGTTAAATAACGTTATTGCTGGTTAAGTACCATAACACTCCTTTACTTTTTCCACATTTAGTTGTGTTATGGATTTGATTGTCATTTTTTGGGTCAAAATACTAACAAAAAAATAAAACACGAATACATCTTGATTATATAAGTATTCAACCCAAGCAGATTTAAATCACAACTGTAATTCAGCCTCTCAGGAACATTCACTGTCTACTTGGTAAGCAACTCCAGTGTAGATTTGTGTTTTAGGTTATTGTCCTGCTGAAAGGTGAATTCATATCCCAGTGTTTGGTGGAAAGCAGACAGAAACAGGTTTTCCTCTAGGATTTTGCCTGTGCTTAGCTCCATTCCATTTATTTTTTATCCTGAAAAACACCACAGGCCTTAATGATTACAAGCATACCCATAACATGATGCAGCCACCACTATGCTTGAAAATATGGAGAGTGGTTCTCAGTAATGTGATGTATTGGATTTGCCCCAAACATTACACTTTGTATTCGGGACAAAAAGTTAATTGCTTTGTCACATTTTTTGTAGTATTACTAAGTGCCTTGTTGCAAACAGGATGCATGTTTTGGAATATTTGTTTTCGGTACAGGCTTCCTAGTTTTCACTCTGTCAATTAGGTTAGAATTGTGGAGTAACTACAATGTTGTTGACAGCGGTGTAAAGTACTTAAATAAAAATAGTACTACTTAAGTAGCTTTTGGGGTATCTGTACTTTACTATTTATATTTTGGACTACTTTTACTTTTACTTCACTGCATTCTTAAAGAAAATAATGTACTTTTTACTCCATACATTTTCCCTGATACCCAAAAGTACTTTTTGAATGCTTAGCAGGACAGGAAAGTTGTGAAATGCACACACTTATCAAGAGAACATCCCTACTGCCTCTGATCTGACAGACTCACTAAACACACATGCTTTGTTTGTAAATTGGCTATCTGTAAAAAATAATAATATGGGGCATCTGGTATGCTTAATATAAGGATTTTTAAATGATTAATACTTTTACTTTTGATACTTAAGTATATTTGAGCAATTACATTTACTTTTGATACTTAAGTATATTTGAAACCAAATACTGTTAGACTTTTACTCAAGTAGTATTTTACTGGGTGAATTTCACTTTTACTTGAGTAATATTCTATTAAGGTATCTTTACTTTTACTCAAGTATGACAATTGGGTATGACAATTGGGTACTTTTTTTACCACTGGTTGTTGATCCATCCTCAGTTTTCTCCTATCAGAGCTGTACCTGTTTTAAAGTCACCATTGGCCTCATGGTCAAATCCCTGAGCGGTTTCCTTCCTCGCCGGCAACTGAGTTAGGAAGGACGCCTGTATATTTGTAGTGACTGGGTGTATTAATACACCATCCAAAGTGTAATTAATATCTTCACCATGCTCAAAGGGATATTCAAGGTGCCCTTCTTTGCGAGGCATTGAAAAACCTCTGTTGTTTTGTGGTTAAATCTGTGTTTGAAATGCACTGCTCGACTGAGGGACCTTACAGATAATTGTGTGTGTGGGGAACACATGTTAAACACTATTATTGCATACAGAGTGAGTCCATGCAATTTATTATGTGACTTGTTAAGCACATTTTTAATCCTGAACTTATTTAGGCTTGCCATAACAAAGGGGTTGAATACTTATTGACTCAAGACATTTCAGCTTTTCATTTTTTATTAATTTGTAAGCATAAAAAAAAAAAAAACATAATTAAACTTTGACATTGTGGGGTATTGTGGCCAGTGACAACAAATCTCAATTTAATACATTTAGAATTCGGGCTGTAACACAACAAAATGTGGAGAAAGTAAAGGGGTGTGAATACTTTGTGAACACACTGTAGGTAGCTAGCTATCTTTTGATCTAGCGAGGCAGGCTAATGTAACTAGTTAGCTAGCTACCTCATTAGAACTTAGTTAGGTCGTAGCTCATTCAAGTTTATTGTGTATTGTCTAGATACTGTTGGTTATGTAGTCCCGTGTAGCTCAGTTGGTAGAGCATGGCGTTTGCAACGCCAGGGTTGTGGGTTCGTTTCCCACGGGGGACCAGTATGAAAAAAAAAATGTATGCACTCACTAACTGTAAGTTGCTCTGGATAAGAGCGTCTGCTAAATGACTAAAATGTAAATGTAAAATTATCATTTGATAATGCTAGCAAGGCAGGCTAGCTGGCTACAGGCTAGCTAACATTAGTTAACTAGCTAGCTAATGTTAGCCTAAAAGTCGGATTTGCAAGTTAGTTTGTAGCTCATATAAGTGTATTCTGTTTTGTCTAAGGCAAAACTAAATAATGGATGTAGCTATGGGGGTGGCTAACTCATGTCTGAGTCTGACTAATACAGTGAACTATTGGTGCTTTCAAGAGAACTGGGAACTGGGAGAAAAAAAAACTAGGTCAAATCATGAAGTCAGTGATCTTCAGGTCAGAAAGTCGGAGCACTAGAAAGATGCCTGAGTTTGCAACTTGGAATTTCGAGTTGGATGACTGTTCAAACTACTTTTCCCAGTCGGAGCTAATTTTTTTCACCCTCCAACCAATGAATTTCTGGCTACACCACTGGGGTTAGGCATAAGGTTATCTGTGTGGTTAAGGTTAGGTTTAAAATCACACTTTAAGAAGAGAAATTGTAGAAATAGGCGGCCTGTATAACTTTGTGGCTGTGGTAACTAGTGACGACCTAGAATTAGCTTGACCCGAGTTACTGCCCTGATGACACAATGGTTATGTGAAAAAGTAATATAAAAAAAATACCCGGTTTGATAAACTAGTAGGTTTAATTACCCAGCCAAGCAGATACAAGTAGTAGAGTAATTTTGGTTGTGAAGTACATTATCAAAAAGCTTTGTCCTTTCTTTATAACAAAATGCAATTTGCTACATGGCTGTCTATCGTATCACCCTGTCACAGGCCCTACCAGTCAACACCACTTCATAAGATGAGGAAGTACATTGCCTGCTGCAGTTGTTCGAGAGATGTCCAGTATGCAGCCAAACATGCAACATAGAGAAGACCAGCAAGGGGACCCTCAGAATCACGCAGACATGCCATCGCTGTGAGCATTCCTATAAATGGAACAGTGGGTACACTTGAATCAGGTTGGTGACATTTGACCTGGTCAAAGGTCAAACAGTTGCGAGTTTTGTCCCAATTCACCTTCATAACCTAGCCTGGTGGAACCAGCCTGATCATTGCGTTTACCATTATATTTCACTTCACATGTCATGATATCTGAAGTGAAATAGAAAGGTGAATGCAGCGATCAGGTTGTTTCCACCATGCTAATCATAACCACCATTGATAATGTAATCAGTGCTCTGTTTGTGTGACTGACCAGTATCTTTGAGGGGCCGGAAGCAGGTCTACGCTGCCATGCCCATCAATGGGGCGCTGGCAAAGACCTTACCTCCAGCCTCACCTCTTGCCAGCTTACCAACGGTCGTCGATGGAGAGGTAGGTTTAGTCTGACCTGTTCAAACTTTAACATAGTATACCACGTATCCTAACTGCCATTGGTAATCGAACAGTGACTGTGTATTTGTTCACAGATGCATCTATTGACCCAGCACTTGGAGACTTGCAAGATGATGTGATGTCCAGACTGATAGACGGGCTTCATACTGATGTCTCTAAATGGAGAGAGACCTAGTACTCGGCATGAACATTTTACTAGACAGTTTTTACTTGTATTGTCTTTTTTTTAATTGAATTGAATTGAATGGTATCAGTCAATATGGGGAAGGAGAAACCCTGTGTATTCTGCACCAGGATCAGGTAACTCCTGGTGTATAGAGGACACCACATAGGAAGGTATGATCACTCTGACATGTTTACCAAGGTAGCCCCATTACCACCAGACAAAATGCAGATAGGCACAGTATCTTTATTGGCTGGGAAATACAATGAAAGGTGAAAGGTGAACATTGTTATATTAGCAGAACACTGCTTCTATGGTATTATGTAAACGGTTGTTTATTCTACATGGACCTGTTACTACATTTGAAAGTTATCAAAACACTTAGTTTAGAATATCTACATAAATTCAGCAATTGCATTCTTCTCATATTACTGTAGGCTACTGACCTATTCAAAGTTTCCTCCAGCACCTCACCATACATCTGCCTGTAGTTATTGAACTCACCTGCAGGAGGTTTGTTTTTTGTGATTGAGTGAGGGGAAACAGCTGCGGGCAAGGTTCTGACAGATGGGTGTGTCTTGGTGGTGGCCAAATCAGCGGCCCCTTTAAGTTCACCCCAGTATCTCTATTTGCACATCTTCTGCACATCTATCACTCCAGTGTTATTACTAAATTGTAATTATTTTTCACTATGGTCTATTTATTGCCTTACCTCCATAACTTACTACATTTGCACACACTGTAAATAGATTTTCTATTGTGTTATTGACTGTACGTTTTGTTTATTCCATATGTAACTGTGTTGTTGTTGTTTTTATCGCACTGCTTTGCTTTATCTTGGCCAGGTCGCAGTTGTAAATGAGAACTTGTTCTCAACTGGCTTACCTGGTTAAATAAAGGTGAAAAAAAAAGAGTAAAATAATAAATTTGTCATTCAATTCTATGAACGAATACATTTTCAAAACAGCTGAAATTACATTTACATTAGGGGCCCAAATGTAATTTGATTGTTAATAATGTTGAGGGGGTTTCTCGTGTTTTATTATCGTTCA